ACACAACTGTATATTCTAAATTAAGCAAATAAATTGGAAATCATTTGAACGCTTGTAGCTCAGCAAGGTAACGTAAAATACAGTCTTCATTGGCAAGCTGACACTTCTATAACAGAAGACAACACTGAATAATTGCTTAAACTTAAACTTCACGCTGTGAAAATCAGCAGCCAAAGTAATAAGTCTACATGCATCAAGTAAGACTTTTGAAAATCTTTAAAATATGAGATGATAACATATTTCCTACTTTAAAATAATTAAAGAGTTACTGTTAAACATATGCACATATAAAAAAAAGTGTTAAGGAAACCTCGTGTTTGTTCAACCCTCATAAAGTCTACTTATGGTTTATATTACAGCTATGCTGAGTGGACCTTAATTACAGTTTCTAAGAGAGATCGCATCATCTGGTGTGATCAACACTTTGAACAAATCTTGGTCATGATGACTTGTCATTTTGTGTTGGCACAACCTATGAAGTTTCATCTACCTAATTTCACCCAAGGTTTGGTTTAACTCGATTTTCAGCTACATTCCTACATCGATAAATAACCTTCCTGACAAATTGACTATGGTGAGATATGAACTCAGATTCCATGGTCAGAAAGCAAATGTTCTAACCATTCGGCCACTTATTTACTATAAACCACTCTTGTCTAATTCTTTGTTGATATTCCATAGCATTCTCATTGTACAACTTGGCACAATGGCTAGCAATCTTGTATTTCATATACGAGCATTATAAAAGAGTACCAAGCTCAATCATCGTTGCTTTTATATAATTGCTTTAGAATAACAATGCTGATATTCTTTCAGATTTTCATTAACTGTGTGTTCAACAGTAATTGATAAGGACAGGGTTTTATCGGTGTCTTTCTTCATCAAAGGCCATTATTAAAGTTCAATCCCCACGGTTTTTCAAGTTTAAATATCGGTATTCCTTCACAGATTCACCTGCTTGACAAGAATTTAATCGATGTTCCAATTTAGAGTACTCATAACAATTGAAATCAGAATTACATGGGAATCAATTTGATTTGTTCGTGTCAGAAAATTAATATGAAAAATTACATTTTATTTTGAATAAAATGTATTAAACATAATTTTCAGCAATTGATAAAAACACCTTTATATTGGCTGCTAAATAAAGCAGGGATTAAGGTGTGTGTGTGTGTGTGTGTGTGTGTGTGTGTGTGTGTGTGTGTGTGTGTGTGTGTGTGTGAGTGCACTCCCAGTCCTCACTCTCTCGCCTCCTCACCAGAAAAATCTGATCGAGAAACCGGTTTAGTCATGATTTAACATGACCATGCGGCAAAAGGTTACATCATACCTGATTTTTATTTATATATATATATATATATATATATATATATATATATATATATATAATCAGGTATGTTTTATGTGTTTTAGTGGACTAAGCAATTTTCAATCTGCTTGTCTGAATCATCTTCAGAAGCGAGAGCAAGATCTAAAAGGTTAGCCAATCTAACAGTGATCTCATGTCACAATCCTCACACTTGCTCCATATGTGGCCTCCTTTGTAAATCACTAGCAGGTCTTGAATGCCACGTAAGATTATCACAAAAATTTCATAACTGAATCAATAACCTGTCAGATCCTCATACGTCGAAACCGACAGGTGAGTCCATTATATATATATATATATATATATATATATATATATATATATATATATATATATATATATTAAAGCGTTACTGTTAAACATATATATATACATACATATACATATATATATTAAAATATATATATATATATATATATATATATATATATATATAATATAAGTAATATATATATATATACATATATATATAAGTAATATATGTAATATATATATATACATATATTATGAAATGGACAAAATCCAACAATTATTTTAAGACATTTTTATGTTTATACATAAAAATGTCTTAAAATAATTGTCCATTTCCTAATGTGTGACGTCATTTGTTTACATTTGGATATGCATCGAGCAGATATGAATGTACGTGAGAAAATCATGGAAAATTGTAGTTTATAAACAGTAAAATCGACCTTGCTAATCGAAACTGTGGCGAAATCAGTAAAAGCACGTCAGGCTATATGACTCCGATTCCTGTGGAGGACGCATATTTTCTATGACATTCAGGTCGGTAAATGTTGTTAATACTGTTTATTATAAACAGAGCACTTTCTTAAATATTTGTGTCTATAAAAACAAAAGAATGCATAAACATAAAAATGTCTTAAAATATATATATACATATATATGCAAAATTATATATATATATATATATATATATATATATATATATATATGTATATCAGTGGGGGAAGACAAAGGGATAAATCAAGCGACAATTCTGAAATGAATTCCTTTGTAAAGTAATAAACCAGGCAACAAGGCAAAGAAAGAGTCGATGGAATATTTCGTCCGTTCTTCCATGCCTACATTTTTCGGACACCTAAAAAACCACAAAGTCGAAAGGATTACTACTATAAAGAGATTTTTACATACATACATGCACATATACAAGGACTCGCTTCTATCCATTATATACTAATTGACTTAGAGATGTTCAACACGAGAACTTTCTGAGATGAACTTATGAACCCTTTAAATATTGTATATTTTAAGAGATATAAAATTTTATCAGTACATGCAAAATATATTTTTGCACTAATTATCTTTGCATCCGTTTTTACAAAGGCAAAAAAAAAAGAAATTGGTGTATATTTGGATTAAGGATGTGATCTGTAAATAAATAACCCCCACGTAATCCTCAACATTGGTGACCCGATGTGATTTGAGCACACAACCTTCTGGACGCCAGTGGCGAATTAACTTAGCAACCCTGAGTTTTTAGTGAGTGATCCGGAAGCACTATCTCCCAATGAGGTGGGTTTCAGAGCAAGCTGGCAGATAAGCCCGACTGTCATCGGTGTGACATTGGTTTAGAAAAAAAACGTTTATACCACTGTCTTCAGTTGCACCCGTTCTGGAATCATATCGGTGACTTGACGGTTCTGGGGTGAAACGGATAGCGTTTCTGACGATGCTAATGAATGAAAAGAATCTTACTATACGAACGTTATACTTATCAGGATCTGTTTGGATTCTCTGGGTAATGAGAGGAAAGACCAGAACTGACAGAAAGCGTTTGTTATCGTTAGATTTCAACAAAAGGTGGGTAAAAGTAGTGACCCTGGTTTGCGTGAACGAGACCAGTCTTAATTTTCTTTTTAGTACCCTTTTTAACAGAACGGGGCTGTTTTCAGTTGGATCCCATCCCTGGTTAAAGCTAGATTCTTTGTTTACTTAGTGTGAGCAATTATTGTTCCCGGCTTGCACCTGGTATTCTCTTTTGTCAAGATTCCCAACCCTTTTATTCCCTTTTTTTATCTTGACTGGATCATCTTTGATTTTCTCTCTCTGCAATTTATTTTTTCCTTCCCTCACCTTTAGTGAGTGAGCATCTTGATTTTGTCTATCGGCAAAATACATTAGCCACTCATAATTTGGACGGGTCCTAATATATTTTATTTTTAGTTTGAATGTTTTCTTGTATTTTATTTTCGTTATTAGGTTCATTCCCTTTATTTCATGCAATATATTTTTACAAGAATTTGATAATGTTAATTGATTGCGTTCACTTTGAGTTCTTAATAAATTATTAGCATCCAAATGATACTCTAATTTTTATGTCCTTAAAATTGCTATAATCTTATATAAGCAGTAGTTTAAGAATATGCTTTTATGAAACTTAGTAGAATGGTCAAAGGCGAGAAATCAGAATTATTTCACCTTTGTACATCCATATAAAAAATAATTTAACAGTTGTTAAAATAAAATAAATTTCTTTTAAAAAAGGTCACACTCGAAAATGGCATTAAAATTTACATTTTTCGATTCTTCAAACATGTCTTTATTTAACAGAAAAAAGTTTTGTGACGATGAATTTAAAAATTACAAGTAATTTTTTTAAAAGAATATTAAAGTGTAGATTTTTTCTATCCAGTCAATTCTCAAAAATAATTATTTTTTCAGTTTTATTGAATTATTTTTGGTAATATTCGAGACGAATTTTTCGTATGTTCACACTTGATATTGCATAAATATTTTACTTCAGGCATTATTATTTATATAACTCCAAATTAAAAAGTACACACGAGATATCGAAAAAAATTTTAAAAGAGCTGAGTGAAAAAACAAACCAAAATATTTCCACATGGTTTTGTAATGAAATAACCTTTTTAGTATTCAATCCAGTCATTAATAAATAGCCTTTTTAGTATACAATCCAGTCGTTAATAAATAAGAACTAAAAATTACGTTTGATTCGGAGGATTCTTTGTTTTTTGCAAATATTTTAAAATGTGGGCAGCGATTTTTTGTTTTCATTTTATAAAAAAAAGCATCCATTTTGGTGGTACCTGCGAAAAACTAATGACATTTTTACTTCTGGATATAAATACTTGCAGCAAAATAAAATTATTACATTTGCCTTGATAAAGTTCATCAGAGGATGAAACACATTGGTAAAGAAAAGTTTTCCTTTCACCTTTATTCACATTGTTTTTTTTGTTTTTTTTTAGTTATATTTGAATTTTTATACACACACACACATATATATTAGTAGGGTGGATCAATAAGTCAACAGCTTAAATAGACATGGACTAAATTTCGATTTGGAAATGTCACTATACAATAGAGATGTATCCTATGTTAAACTATAAGTATTTATTGATTAAAGTAAATATTTTTCATTATTAGACTATAGACTTATTGATTCAGCAACATATGTAAATTGCAAAAAATATCTTATTATTCATCACCCTGCCGATTTCTAATCTGAAATACATATTTTATTTTATTTTATTAATAATAGAAACCGAGGATAAAGGTTGTGAGCACTATTAATAAAATAGCATTAATGTTAAGGATTATTCTCCATTTTTTCTTTTCACTGATGTCGGTTGCTTTCAAAGCTAACGCCATTTTCTCCTCTTCAGTTAACTCTTTTGTGTCCTTCATCTTTTCAATGCCGCAGATCCAATTAAACGCAACCCTGTACCACGGCTCTGGAGCAAATTCAGCTGTAAGAAGAAATCATTACAAATAATAAATAAATAAAAGCGGATAAGGAAATAACCAAAATACTTTAACAGTGTAATATTTGAAAATTTTGAGGTGGAGGGAGAATAAAAGACTCTTACTGTGTTACTGGCCCTAAGAACCTGCTGACATTTTTTTATGGGCTGTGATTGGACAGTTCAAATGTCAACCGTCCCCTTTGAAGGGGAAGGGAGAACTGTTACTGGACAGTAACTGGCAGTTGGAAGTCATACCACCTAGGAATAGGAGGTTCGTTTCTTTCTCCCTGCTTAAATGGCAGGCAGTGTTTCCCTAAATTAAAGGATGTATGGGTAACAAAGTTACTGAAAGCAAGTTTCCCTTTAAGTCTTCAGAGAAAATTTGAAAAGAAGTCCTTTCGAAGAAGCCCCAGAAAAGAAAGTGAGAAGTCCCTAAGTGGCATTTACAAATAAGAAGAAGAAAAAGAAGTGGCAAACACTTGCAGAAGTGTATTAAGAAGTGTATTACCGCGTGTTTTAAGTAAGTTTTCCCCTTCCGTGGTCGTATAGTAAAAGAAAGGGGAACTTTCCATTCAGACGGGAAGAAAATAAGAAGGGAAAGAAGGGAGATGGGTCACCAAAGAAAAGAGAACCTTGTCTCCATAAGAAAGAAATGAAAATGAACTTTTGAACTTTGAAAGGACAGAAAGTGTGTACTGTAGAGCAAAGGCTCTTCTTTGTTATCATTTACACAGCAGGTGAGCTCAATCTTTTATTTGTTTTCTGCATTGTAATTTTTTAAGTTTTGTTTTGCTGGTATATTTTTTTCACATTGTGTTAGTCAGAGGATAGGTTACCTATTCTCATCAAAAATGGACGAATTTTTGCAAAAACCATTGTTTAATTGGTTAATAATAAATATTTTTCCTTGTATAATTGAATTGGATTTTCATTTTTTTTCTTTTTCGTTATTACTTCGGGCAGTAGTGAAAATACTATTGCGGCAGGTTTAATTTTCTTTCAGAAAATAAAATTTCCGAAAAATAAATAAACAAACACTTTTAATTTTTTTAAAGATTAATTAGATTGTATGAAAATGTTAATTCGAATTTGTAAATTTTGTTCTACTTAAAAAACAAGAATTGGAAAACATATCCACTGTACATGCAAATCATAATATATGAATCGCGAGTCGGGAAATATTTGTGTACGAATAAAGCAGTTCACCTTTTTAAAGTAACCCCAAAACCATGCGCACATCTGACACGTGAAAATTTTTCATAAAATATAAAATATGCTATTTTTGCTTCCTTGGGAAAAAATCTCTGATGTATATTTGTTTATGAAAAATAGACATGTATTTTTATACTACGATTTTTAAAATTTCAGATGTTAATCGTTTCTGATAAACTTGATATAAAATAACACAATTTAATTTAAATTCATTACCATCAACTGTAGATGTAAAAGCTCTTAACTTTAGTGCCAATTTTAACAAAAGCTGCAAACCAGTGGTTACGAAAATGCAAATATACACAAAGTGACAAAGACCATATAAAATGCGAAGTAGACCGCCTTCTTAAGGCTGGGATAATTCACCATGGTGATTGAAGGTACTTGTTGTAAAGGATAAAGGCAAATATTGTATGGTGTCTAATTATTCATAGACTATTAACAAGTACACAGAACTGGATGGCTACCAATTAACCCAAAATAGATCAAATAGTTAATAAAGTCATACAATACAAATTTTATAGTATTATTGACTTCCATTGTGTGTATTATCAAATTCCTTTGTCTTTGTGCAGATCGTTCTAATACAGCAAAGACAGTCGGGTGCATAAGATAGAGAAGAGGATGCAACGGTCCCTGGCATACATATCAAGAGGACATCCAATTAAAGAGTGAAATAAAAAATTAGTTTATATTTAATTTGAATAAAGTGTTTATGTCATGATTCATATTGCTTTTATATATTTAAAATGTCTTCTTTTCTCACATTTCACAGTACTTGAGTCTTAGGGACATAATAATCAAAAAGCTGGTCCCGGGCATCACTAAATATCACCAAACATCTGCACGTCACTGAGCGAAAGTAATACATTTGAAGGTAATGGATGGCTTTATCAATTTACTCGAATGTTTTCTGGTGTGATGAATGGAGTATCTTTTTTCAATAGAGAAAAATTAATTAATAATAAATTGATAAAAATAACTGTCTAACTGTTTTAAATAACTTGATAATGTTACAATTTGTGTCAACATTATAGAAGAGCACAACAATAATTTAAATATCTTCCATGAAGCATGCTAAGATTGATAACTTATTCCAAAAAGACAAATGTTTCTTTTCAGTTTCATCAGTTGTCCTGCTGTGCTATCGCATGGGTTACTGAGTCCAAATTCTGGAAGTTTCCATCCACTTCTGGATTTGCCTGTTGCTACAGATAAAAAGAATTTGCGGCTTGTGAATATATTGGCATATGGATACCCAAATGTTTTTATAAAAAAAGACCTTTTAATTCTGTGAACGAATTAATACAAATATTTGAAGTAAAATACAAATATGACTTGATCAAAGTATCAGTCCAAACTATTGATGAGAATATTCCTTTTATAGTGTAAACGGATGCTTCAGATTTTGTAATTTTGCAGCAATTTTCAGAAAACTGCAGCCAAGCGGGAAAACCTGTTGCCATTCATTCCAAAAAAAATGAACTGTTACATTCTTCTGTAGAAAAAAAGCTAATGCTATAATGGAATTTATAAATTATTGGGAGATATTTCATACTCGGGAAGCAATTCACTGTTATTAGTGACCAACGTAGTATTTGCTATAAGTGTAATAATAAAACTTGAAGTAATATAAAGAATGACAAAATTTTACTCTGAAGACTAGAGTTTTCATCATACAGCTACGATATCTATGTAACGTATATGCGTGTGTCTTTTGGGTATTACCTACACTTGGTCTGCCAAATGAATGTTAGGTGACTATGTTTAAGTACGATAAAAGGACGAGCATATTTCTTTCTTTCTTTTTTTTTTCCCTCCTTTCTTCTTAGCATTGCGTACCAATACCAACATCAACTCGGGACTCATCCAACGCTGGAGACAATATCCTTTTCCTCGGGTGACTTACAACTGAAACACACATACACACACACAAACACACATACACATACACACACATATTTGCTAGCAGCTAAGGTTAATGATTTTCCTCCTTTTTCAGCTGTGTACACACTAGTATATTTTTTGTTATTCCTTTATTAGTTTGTATAAAAATGCAAGAAAATATCTCCGTGTTGCAATTCATTCCTTCACTCATTCCATATTCATTCCGCTTACCTCTGAAAATTGTGACAACTCGTCATTTACATGGAAAAATTTTGGTTGCCAATGCTTTTAGAAGAGCACGGTGCGTTAACCTCTAAGGGATATGGCCAACTGATTATGGTTAAAATACTGACAAGAATATCTATAGTATTACACTAGATATTTATTGTAGCTCATCTTCATTCAACATGACAATATATGTAAATGCTAACGCCACCAATGAATTAAAATCATAATCTATGAAGGCCATGTTTGGTGTCTATCATTATTATTATTTTTATTATAAAGTGATTGCTTTAATTTTTGTAACAATTTCAAAAACACCCATAAAAGTTAAAGTGTCTGTTAATAAAAAAGTGTTTGTATTAAGAATTCTTTTATTTTATTTTTTCACTAATGTCAGTTACATTTAAAGTTAACAACCTGACTCCCTACCCGCCTTTCCATCACTTTTACCAGCCACTTCCCTCTATATAATTTAGATTTCTCGGTCATAAAGTGTAACCCATTCCTATTAGACGAGTCGGGCATATACTACACTCTGTCCTAGGTTGGAAAACATAGCGGTTGTACATACTAACAAGCAAAAAATCATCTAGTTTCTCAGTCAGTAAGTTTAACTAATTCTTGATTAGACATGATGAAAATGACATATACTACACTTTGGTCCTAGGTAGAAAATCGTAACAATCGTACATAATAACAAAGATTTATTATTTCAGTTGTGCCGTTCATCTATTTCAGTACCTTTTCAAGAAACTATTAAACATTTAATGAAAATGATTTGTACAAACCTGTTTCGTTAATAGGTTCTTTATTACTTTCAACGCTCATGCTAGCAATGGTCGCGGTTGATTCTTGACAAGAAACTTGGTTAGATATTGTATTTATTTTGGCTATTTTCTTCCAGCGGAAGGTCATTCCCTTTGTCCAGAACGTCAATCCTTCTAACTGTAAGAAACAAAAACAAATTTTAAAAAATGAATGCGATATGTTCATCATTATTTCCTTTGATTTCTGTTGTATACCCATTTCCGTCCGGGTCCCAACCATAAACCTAAGGTCAGACATGGCACCATAGCATTTTCTACTGCACATTTGTGCAAAATAAATGAATAAAATTAGCTACACACATTTTACATAGATAAAACCCTTCGTATGTTGTGAGCTGTGCTTGTGAGAACGATCCCGTATTTCTTTAAGGTATGGACTGTCAAGGATTTTCCAGTCAAACACAGGACTCCAACCGCAACTGGAATTATTGATGTTTTCATGTGCTAAAAGTTTTTAGATTACCACTTTAAATTCCTTGTATTTTAATAGTTTTTTGGAGACCTTCAAAAATACATTGTAGTCTGCAGGAATAATCATGCCAATAAGAAAGGGCATTCTATTTTTATTGTCTTTGATCACGATGTCTGAACTTTGATTTTTCTGGTTGTGTATATTGTAAAGTTTTATAAAATTGTTGTAGGTTCTATCTGTAATCGGGTCTGGGTGGTATCCATACCAATTTCTTGCAGTTTCCTTCCCATAAAAATTGCAGATTTTCTAGTGTAGATATTGGCCCACCGTATCATGACAAGTTTTATATTCGATGGATGCTAATACCGTGCAACATGATACAAAATGGCCAATTGTTTCTGGATATTCATAAAAAGAATCAACATTTGGAGTCACAATTTGTTTTCAGTATATTTGCTTGATAATTCATAGTTACCAAGCATTGGTCCTGTGCAGCAAGAATAAAACCTTCGGTTTCAGCTTTTAATTCTACACTACGTAACCACTGCTGGGTAAGGAGTTTGACTACATCAGTTTGTTTGCTACTAGCAGAATAATGTTTACCTTACCATCGTTTCAGTATTTGGGTCATTGCTTTTACTTTCCTTTTTAGGTTATTTACCGCTGCAGTAGATGGATTATGACTTAATTGGCCTTCTTCATCCAGTTAAAATTCCATTTTGAATTTTTTGGTTTCCTTTATTACGGAATAAAGTTTCTTATTTCTCTCATGTTCCTTGACGCAGGGCATCACTCAGTTTTCTGTAGTTTCTAAGTTCATTTGAAGACTGTTGTCGTTTTGTAAGTCTTCATTGAACTGCCTCCTCCGGATCTGGCCACATATAGACTATCAACATCGGCCTTATCATTAGTGCGATAACAAATGAGAAGCTTTCTAGTTTTGGCATTCATTCATTTAAACTATGGTTCAGTTAAAAATGTTGAAACTGTATTGCACCACATGGAGAGCCAAAGGGTTAATGGCTGATATTCTATTTGTATATTTAACTCGGTATTTATCACCAGACGCACACTCCTGTAGTATTCCTTTCTCCTTCATTTGGCTATTCTTTATTACATCTCTTAGGTATTTATATGCTTCATCTTGCTCCAGTTCCTTAATCTTTGTGAAAAGATCGAGATCTATTGAGTGTGTTTCGGTTATTCTCCGTTTCTTGAGTGATACTTTTGCACTTTATCTAATCCAATGTCATTGAAACATTTTACTATATTGAGAAGACCTTTCAATTTATTGTCGTCTTTGTAAAAACGTCCATCCATATAGAATAAGTGATTAACTACTCGGTTCTTTATTTTGTATGCCTAGTTATTACTGTTTAGTTCATGCGAAAGGGGCAAAGACGGATATTTTGCCGATTGGAGGTAGCAGTGTTTTTTTGTGATAATGGTATAATGTGGTTTTCCACGGTCCCATACTATATTTAAGGAAATTTACTATCACTGAAGAGACTGTACATTTCCAAAGTCTTAAGAAACAAGAGCGTGGTGCACTATCAAACTGTGCTGAGATTTCTACCTTTTTATCTCGCAATTTTCCAATATCTTTTTTATTTATCACTAGTTGATCTTTACAACCATATGAACCTCTTTGGCATCATTTCTGTTCCAGGGGAAGAATGCTATTTTCATCGAGAAAAAAATAAGCACAACCAGTCGGTAGAGATGTGATTAATGTGTTGGATAGACATGTTATTGGTCTATAATTCTTTGAATCATATGTTTCACGCGTTTTTTGGGAAGAGATGTAATACTATCAGTGATCCATTCTAGAATTTCCTTAGTGTTATTCATTAGCATTGATAAAGTTTGCACAAGGGTTTTATGGATTAATAACAAATGATAAGGCCAAAAGTTGGGTAACTTGTCATTTCGTGTTGATTTACATTATTTGAATTTTGTTATAGCTTGCATTACATTATTCTTGGTTATATTTTCTATTCTTGTTCAGGTTTATCCTTCATTCCTTCTTGTGGCTTATTTAATTTTTTATTCAATTTCCCTGTAGAATTTCTTAAGGTCTGTTTGAAATAAATTGTTTTATCGATAGAAACTACTACGCTTTTCATATTGTCTTGTTCTCTATGCCTTTAATTTTTACGACTTTAATTTTGTATTTCCACTTGATCTTCCTGCTTTTCCGTGTGAAAATATTTGAATTTCTTGAAATCTCACCCAGTATTTATAATACATATCTGGTCTTCTCAATTTCTTGCTTTAATTTTACCTTCAAGTTCTTTTTATCTGTTTTTTGATCTTTTCTTTCTTTTGACATTAACTTTTCCAGTTGCTGATAAAGCTATTGCATGTATTACATTATTTACTTCTATAATGTTTTCAAGTCATTTGTCCATTAACAATGTTTTCAATGCAGCATTACATATTTGCACTGTATGTTTATTGGACTTAGTCATGTGGATTTTTGGAAGCTGGTCTCATTCGGACATTGATATGCAAATTACTTTTGCTGATTATTTGAATGATATGGTTTTATGTTTCATTGATTTAATCTCTGTTGTTCTCAAGGGATTCTACTCTAATTTCATTTAATTCATATTCATCAGTGGCAATACTAAATAACTGAAATTGTTTATTTTTTAATTAGATTCTTCAGTTTCATTTCATGAGAGATTATTATTTTGTATCTCATTTACTTTTGTTTGTAATTTATATCTTGTCATATCATGTATGCCTCCTCTTGTCTAATTTTTGTTTGACTGACGGCTTTTTTCTTATATTTATTTTTATCTGATCTATTTCTGCATTTTAGAGACTTTTATTTTGCATGATGTCTCTGCGAATATTTGTAAGTATATTTGGGTCGAGACAGGGTCGTATTTCACTTTCTACCATATGTTTCCATATCTGGTATGTTTGACCCGTTATGTTCTTTTGAGGGTTTTTGAGTGCAGTGCAAAAAGATGTCATGATTTGTTTATACTCTTCGCGATTCCATTTAGTACGTTTTCTTTTGATTAATTGATTTGGGTCATGAGGGCCATTATTTCGGAGTTAATCTGGTTTTGGTGACCAGGTGCCTATTTGTTGGTGGAAAAGAGACTGGTTTATGAGGAAGTCAGCCTTTGTTGACCCGGGCGATGATCGATTCCGTATAAGCTGTTGATTGTAAACATTGGCATTTTTTTTTGTTTTATCCCTAACCGCTAAGGGGTAATTTTGTTTAAGATACCAATTCTCGGACGACTTCCGACCAAAATTAAAGTGCTCGTTCTGCCCATGAAACACGGCTATTTTCTGCCACCCGGTATTTTCAGATCACGGGGAGTTATTATTTTTATTATTATCGTTTGGTTTCTGATGTATACTAATTTCTTTCCGGGCCCTGACCAGAGACTTAAGGTCAGGAATGGCATCATGACATCATGACATCCACTGAGCAGTTTTGAAAAAAAAATCGCGCATATTTTACATAGATAAAGCCCTTCGTAAAGTGTGGGCTGTACTTGTAAGTAAAAATGTTTTGTATTTCTTTAGGACATGGGCTACCAGGGATTCCTTCAATGAGTCTATTGCAATCTTTTTCAATCAGCCCGAGGGCTCCAATTGGGTTAATGCCCTCATGTGCCACATTTTTGAGATTTCAAGGTCCTTGTATTTTGATAGTTATTTTTGAAAATCTTCAAACATACATTGCAGTCTGCAGAGAGTGTCATGTCAATAAAGAGGCATATTTTGTCTTTGCGGTCTCTAATCACGATGTCAGGTCGATTAACTTTGTTCTATCTGTGTGTATTGCAAAATCCCATAAAATTGTTACAGGTCTGTAACCGGGTCTGGGTGGTGTTCATACTAATTTCTTGCAGTTTCCTTTCCGTAAGCGTTGCAGATTTTCCAGTTCAGGTATTGACCCACTCTGTCGTGCCGTGTTTTATATTCAGTGAGTGCCAATACTGTGCAACCTGATACCAGATGATCAATTATTTCTGGATATTTATCACATAATCTGCATTTTGGACTAACAATTTTTAAGTATGTGTGCATGATATTTTCTAGTTATCAATTATTGGCCATGTACAGAAAAAATAAAACCTTTGGTTTCAGCTTTTAATTATGCACTATGTAACCACTGATCGATATGGGGTTTGTTTACATAAGCTTGTTTGGCACGGGCAGAGTATTGAGCATCTTGTCATTGTTTCTGTATCTGGTCGGTTGCATTTGCCTTTGCTTTCGTTTTAAGTATTTTGCAGCTTCAGTCAGTGTATTACGCTTTACTTGTATATCTTCATCCACTTGAAAATCCATTTTGAACTTGGTTTCCTTTATTACTGAATACAGTCGCTTGCTACTTTCATGTTCTTTGACATAGATCATCATCCAGTCTTCTGTAGTTTGTAGGTATCTTTGAAGGTCAATTGTTGTAGTTTTGTAAAACAGTTCTAGTTGAATTAATCCTCTACTTCTTTCTGGGTACATACAGACGCTCAACATCGGGCCATGCAATGATGCATGCGGTGGCAGGTGAGAAAGTTTCTCGTTTTGACGTCTATTTGCTTAATGTCAGCTATGGTTCAGTTAAGAATGTTGAAGCTGTATTGTACCACAGAGACAACCAAGGTGTTTATGGCTGATATTCTGTTTTTTTTGTTTTTTGTTTTTTGTTTTTAATTCAGCTTGGTATTCAGTACCAGACACACACGCCTGTAGTACTTCTTTCTTGCCTTCTCCGTCATTTAGGTATGCTGTATTCCATCTCCTTCGATAATTTCTAGATACCTATAGGCTTCTTCATACCCAGTTCCCTAATCTTTGTACCAGAATCTAAAACTATTGAGTGTGTTTCTGTAATTCTGCCTTTTTTGAATGTTATTTTTGCACATTTATCTAATCCGAATTCCATACCTATGTCGACACTGAAACATTTCATATTATTGAGGAGACCCTTCAACTCATTGTCGGCTTTGTCCACGAGTTTGAGATCATCCATGTAGAGTAGGTGTTTGAGTACTTTCTTGTTTAGTTTGTAACCATAGCTATTGTTGTTTAGTTCATGCGTAAGGACATACAAAACAGGAGTGACAGAGAATCTCCTTGAAAGATTCCTCGTCGGATATTCAGTCGGTTGGAGATGTCAATGCCTCAGGTGTGATTTAAGTATAATGCAGTTTTACACATTCCCACGCTGTTTAAAGAAATTTACTATCACGAGGAAGACTTTGTACATTTCCAAAGACTTAAATATCCACGAATGTAGCACACTATCAAAGGTTTTACGGTAATTATTATTATTATTGTTGTTGTTGTTGTTGTTATTATTACAATTTATTTCATTTCTAAAGTCTTTTTTACATTCATTCTATGATTGTAAAGTGGGAAAAACAAGCTTAAGAAGAGATTAAAAAAAAACAAAAAAAACAAAACAACATTTTGGTGAGTTTGTTCTTTCCAGGGCAAGCTCTTACTTATTAGGTTATTAAAGCGAGAAAATATGAATGATTTAAATTTAGCCATATATCTATATTCGTTACTTATTTGCTTTCAACTATACTACCGCCATGTTGTTTTGCATATCTAGACTAGTATTAAATAGTTGTCTGAATTTGTTTATATAAAGCGTTATTTAGCAAATATTTCTTTCATTTTACTCCAAGTATTTTGGAAGCAGTTAAGAAGAAAGAGACGAAAGAAAAATTAAGCAAGAAATCACTCAGAAAAACAAGAAAAATATTAAGAGACCAGATTGTACATTAGAAAATGAAATAAATAAATAAATAAATAAGTGGTCAGTTCCAGAACCTGAGATAAAAAAAACCCCAAAAAACAAAACAAAACAAATGCCACAAGAATAAAGTGTATGGTCGATAAAACATAAGAACAGCAATGGTGAGACAACCACATAATCAGTGAAATAGTCAAGAAAGACTTCAAAAAACAGACCGGACTGCCACGTGACCGATTTTTACTCAGGTTTAGATTGTTTTAAGGCTTTTTATTGAAACAAGAACATCGTGGTAATGGATTTCTACGTATACTAGTTTTCATGACGATTTGTCGGGTTCACTCATCTCCACGGTTTTTTGAACAGGAGTAGAGGTGTATACCTAGTTTCCAGTTTAAGATTTCCAGTTAATTCTGAAATATACTTCAGCTATATACTCCTAACGCTTGTCCTTTCCTATGCTAATATAAGTCCCCAAAGTAATACTCTACTTTGAGTGGCTCTTGTATTTTGTATTGAGTGAAGATTAGTGAAAGAAAAAAAAATCATTTAAAGTTTTTTGCCATTTTCATCAACAATGTAAATTTCAGGAAGTCAAAAGGGGTTTCTCCAATGTAGACAAATATTTTCAAAAGAATGAAGGAAATACATTTTGCTGATTTCAATTTTTTTGTTAGATCGTCACTGATGGAATCGACAATGATATAAAAATAAATGCCCAAAATAATGATTTTCTACGTGAATCATGATCTTTTGCCTGGCTTTAATCATTTCATTGGTCCTCATTAAAATAATTTATTCCGTTTTCTCTCATTTGACTAATTAATTTTAATTTCAATTTGCAGACTGTTAATAACACGTTTTGATTCTGTCAGCAGAATACTAAATTGATTTGATAGTTTCTGTAGAATTTTATTAAAATATTTCAATGTTGTCAGCTTTAACATAGTGCCATCTTATTTCATAGCCCGCCCCTTCAATTTTATCCACTTCCAAAAATAGAACTAAAAATTCATATTTATCATCCAATCACAATATTTCTAATAAATTCAAATTTAACTACTATCTTTTAACATACTAACATATTTAGCATTTACTAAAATTTTATTTAAATGATTTCAAGTCTCATGGAAGAATGTGAGAAAAACATTTTTTTTTTTTTACCAATGAGAACAGACCCAACTTTCTCTTTTAGGGACCTAGATGAGTCCATCAGATCGCATAAAAATGATCTGAAAAATTAATAGAATTTTTTTCTTGAAGCAGATAATATCACAGAAAGATCAATTGTTCATTCTCTTACACCGGTTCGCTCAGCGGATTTCTTTCTTTTTTTTTTTTTATTCCAGCAAGTACAAGCTGTAAAATTCTCAATATCACTGACGATTTGCAGTAAATGGTTTTATTACTCTTTAGTCTTCACATACATTTTCTTCGATAAAAAACTTTCACATACTGATACATGCAACAAATGTTTCAACGAAGAGTATATTTTTATTAAAGTGACTTTTATTTGGATATAAATTGAGTCATTGAACATTTATTTTATTCTCACTCTTTTTTATCACAAATATATTTTTTATTTCAGAAGTACTGTATACCGAAATTGTACTTGTTTTCTGTATGACAGAAAATTTGTTTCGTTGTTTTTAAATGCCTAGTTTCTCTTGTCTGTTTAAATTCGTGTTATTTTTTTCCTGAAATTATTTTTCTCTCCAATTCTTGAAGGCTCGGAATAAGCAGAATATTAATTACCAATATAACCCAAACACGAGGAACACAATACAGTTGTGTTAAAGAAATACGCCACTGCCTATAAAATAATGGTTTACAACTAAAGGACATTTAAAAGTTTTAAATATAACAACAAATAGCTACATTAAAGCGAGAGAAACAATTAACTTACGCTCAAACCCAACGGAAGCTTCGTTAATTCTCAATTTACTTCTATATAACACCGACACTATTAAAAATGGGTTCTTTCAGATGCAAGCAATCTTCAAAGCAAAAGCAATTATATCACAAAGGACATGTTACCACTACGTGATCGAAAAAATACAGATAAAATAAAAGGTAGCGAAGTAGCAGACCTCCTTGAAACAATGGTAAAGACAAATTATACGACTCTCTTTAAACGGATTAGTCAATCCAACGAGTGTATGTTACGGGAGTTAGGCGATAGAACTTCCTTACACTTATTGTGCAACACAAATGAACTCTTGGATTCCAACGTTATGTCTAACTAATACATGGACCATATAGAGAATTCACCAAAACATCGCGTATACATTCTACTTCAAGATGATTGGGTTCCAAAATATGATAGCAAATGCTGAATTCGATCACATATTATTAAAATGTTCTTTGTTTTCTCTTCTACACATTGAACCTAAGAAAGAATCAAGAGTATGGCACCCGTATGGAGATTTTCGAAGATTGAAAGTATTTGCTGTTCCTGTTATTAGCATTATTATGATTTTGCAATCGGATTACAAAGGGCAAGGATTTCTGCAAGATCAGTAGAGAATATCTGGCCATGACTCACTACCAATCTCTTCATGATGTTCCACTATCAATGTAGTTAACACATATTGAAATGATTGATAGCATGTGTGTCATAAAAATTGTTGAACACAGGGAAATATATGAAAAACATTTTCAATTATTATTAACATTTTCAGTAGAGCACAGCTGATTCCGCGTCACAAAAATGGTACTCACATAGTGTGAAAATAGTGAGATAATTTTCATATTTTGCAATAGACTGTCATATTGGCACCACTGTTCTACCATTTACCTCTTGAATCTTTCAAGAGAATGCCATTTTTAATGTTTCCTTTATGTCAAAATTAGATCTTCACAATAGTTTTCACAAGATAGAAATCTTGACACTATATTCTAAAAATTAAATTAAAAAAATATTTTTATTCCCTCATATTCTATATTATCTTTGCGTATAATATTTTATAATATTTTTCTTTAAAATATTTTTGAAACCGGAAATTGACATGACTAAGATGGAACATGATCAACAATAACTGCATTTTCAATAAACAAAATAATTATATTTGTCTGGACCAGTATATGTTGTAGAAAATGAAATATAAAAATGTGAAATTCAAAATACCAGATCAGGTAATAATAGACAGAGTGAATTTCGCTAGTCCGGAAGATCACATAAAGGAAATGAATAGGTTGGATAAGTATCTCGACCTTGTAACAGAACTGATAAAATTATGGAATGTGACAGTTGTTACTGGAGCACTTGGAACATTTACAAAAAGATTAAATGTGACTGCAAATCAAGGCTATACAGGATCCCATCCAAACGAATTGTTTTGTTAAAATTATAAGAAGGATCAGATAATACTGCGAAGTGTTGCTGTCATTTAACAACAATGAAAACCACCATTGGTTGGAAAACTTCATAGTAATAGTAATACGGAATTGCTTTTAATTGTGGTAATACTTTTTTGTCGCTTTTTTGTTAGTTATGATTACATCATAAACCAATAAATATAGTACTTACATGGCTGCTGTCTATTGGTTTCGTTAGTATACTGACTACGACAGATACAATTAATGACACGCCAAACAGAATTATTCCGAAATGCAAATAATGAACATCTTTTATAATTGGTGGACGGGTATCTTCTTCACCACATGGAACAGACGGGTATGAAAATTCCCAAATGAAGCGAATCATACCAACCACTAAGCCAACCATTAGGCCATAAAATGCGCCCTGTAAAAGTAAGAAAAATCCTTTAAAAATTGCTTATTTAAGCAGTACCTACTTCTGTTGATAGATCGAAGTATCATAGCAATCTCATTTCATACTCTCTCTACTTTTGCAATTGAAAACTCTTTATCGAGAGAAGTAACTCTTCAATATGCTAACCATAACTGCACACTACAATTTATAGGGATGTATATATACATTTGCTGACAAATAGAATCACCTGCAGCGAGTACCACTTATTTCAAAACAATTAATAAAATAACACTTAAAGTGTGCAGCTTGAGTGTATTAAGGCAATACATATTTTATTGGTAACTGAAGCCCTCATAGCTTATGTCATTCACTATTGTGAAACCTAATGTTAATTAATCTTGTTTTGTGTTAATTAATTTTATTCTCTACTAATTACACATTTTCTGTTTTAATGGATTTTTTTCCTGCAAGGATTGAATTCGTAACGACCAACTTTTTAACTAATTTTTTCTTTCACTAGTGTAATAATTTTGTAGCCTGAAAACTGATGGAAAAGTTCAGATTCTGGTTCACTCCCAGGGTTTAGTAGTTCTGAAAAGTCATATATTCAGTGGAAGAAACGAACAAGTAACACAAAAAGGAATATGACTGTCGAGTATTAACTGTTAGGAAATATCCCGTGAGTAAGAAAATGTTGAATACTAAATGGATTGTATAAGGGGCTACAAAAGCATTACTCCTGTAACGAATTTAATCCTCCCTGGGTGCTCCACACTGATGTAGCAGACATTACTAATCTTAGTACATAAAAGCGTTTGGGTAATAGTTGTAGAGTAGACCATTACTATTGTAATGTGTTCGGTTTTCACTTGATATTTCAGACTTGTGATTTTGTAACCTCCTATTTGTGACGTAGTGGTTAGCAAGTAGACAGTTCCTAACGTGTCATTACTACTGCAGTTAATCCAATTTTCTTCAGGTGCCAGATTCACCTAATCTTAGTAAATAAAATCTCCGGCTGTAAGTTTTGTTTATGTTCAAAATTTAAGTTTCAAAATTACAGTTTTATTATTGGTCTTTTAAAACTTTAAAAGAAATCATTACAGAGCCACTATGCAAGCTGCACAAAACCTATTGACAGAGGATATCACTAACCTCGTACGGGTCTCCTTCACATACAAATTCGACTGTCTACCGGAAAGTTCTGGTAACATGTCTCATCTGACAAAACGACATAACTCCATGAGGTACAGTAAGCAATACTGTAACATCGGTTGTAGTACATATATTGATCGATGATTAGGAAACACCTTGGAATGCTGTGTACGCTCTAAAATGCGTTGAATAATGGGTTAAGTGGCACCAGCATTGAATTATCTAACTTGTGGTCTGCCTCGTGGCTATTGTCAAGGCATGATTTTCTCTTTGAAATAATGGTGCAACACATCTTTCTCTATTCTGACATTTGATTATGTGTTGTACTGAACTAAACTTATTTACATATAGGACTATTGTCGTCAACTTTGTTTACGTTATCACAAGGTTTCGGTCATTGTGCTGATGAAACCTTCATCAGTAAGACGTATGCCAACAAGAGGAAGGCATGGTCACGGGTTCACCGCTATCACCAGTCATGGCGGAATAGTTCAACGAAGTAAAAGAAGCAGACAGTTATCGACCGTGACGCGGGGAGAGAGGAGTTGGCACAGCCTGCATCATAATGTGGCCTCAGGGTTGCCCTCCGGAGGTGACTGCAGGGACATCTTTCCATGCGCGACATGGCACTACAAACACCCCGGTATTATACAACTGTTGATCAGAGCGTTGAAGACGCTACGCAAGAGTTAGGGCTTCTAACTACCAGTCGGAAACAGCAACCAGAGAACTGTCAACCGTGTACCCTCAGAATGAAGAGGTAATGCCACAGACTGCACACATCACGGGAGAAACAGAGCTGCACTAATACAGAGGCAAGAGAGAGAGAGAGAGAGAGAGAGAGAGAGTACCGGGAACCCCTTCCTAAACAAGAAACAAGGCGTAAGCCTCTACTCATGTCCAAGAGAAGGGGGAGGAGTGTTGACCGCCTGGTCAAGCGATTTAGTCGGCCTATCATTCAAACATATATGATATGGGAGCCGCTAATAAAGAAAAACAAATTATAGCAGGTCTTCGGTAGCAGCAGCTGTAACAAAAGAGAAAGCTTCAGTCAAGCAGTGAAGCATGACAAGCAGCAGTAGCAACACTCATCGGTAATCAGGTTAGGTTTAAGGCTCCAATTTCTTCACAAAGAATAGGACAATAGCTTAGTGGATTATAGCATTGGTTCATGCATTTAGTGATATAGTAATTGTGAGTTCAATCCCTGGGCCAGGTGAACAATAATTGAGCGGTAATAAAATAAAAAACTAAATGAAATATGATCAGTGGAATGACAACAATGTACCCTGGAAACTTATTTAGCACGAACTGAATCATTTTGTTCGAAATTCCCTGTAGGTTACTCGTATCAACACATACCCGATGAAGGTAAGCCGGAGGGTACTACGACAGAAACGTTGTGTTAACAAAAACAAACATGAGGACAATAGTCCATACGCAAGTAATGTAAATAATGTTAACTCCTCATTCAAAAAATTCATAAAAAGGATTTTCTAAGCAGACAAGACTTTGGTAACAATTTTCTTATGATTCTACCTTGTTTTGTAGGAAGATGGGTAGTAAATAGTATAATTACCGGTTCTGTAGTTCGTTTCCAAAAAACTGCTAAAACAAATATGGCGCACACTGGTGGTGCCAAATAGCTTGTTACGGCTTGGATATAGTGGAACATTGTTGGAATATTCTGGATGACTGGAATCCATACGACGCTAATACCAACCAGAAAAATGACAACAACTCTGAAAAAGAAAACAAAATTCACAGATTTTAATTTAAAAAATTAAATTCTTTGATTATTGTATAAAATTTCAGACACAAATTTAACTTTTTATACGAAACAGTCTGTAAATGTGTCTTATTAAAATAAGCACATTTATAATTTCTGTAAATAATTATAACCTTTTTCTTATTATATGTATTTTATGAGGATTCTTGCTTTTCTTTTGTCAAACCAATATGCTTTTAACGGCAAAAGAAATTATGATTAAAATGACTAGCGATGGGACAGGATACCAAAATAACTGATTGTATTCCTTTCTTAATGACATAAACTGATGCAATGAAAATTTGAATTAAGTTTTCTAATTCCTTTTCCCGATCTCTACTAACAGAGATTAGGCATAGAACTCATTAAATACAATTTCTTTTTATATCTGCAATTGTATGTGTAAATACATCAATAATAATTAATTAACCTAATGCATTTATTTTACATTAATAGTTCATTTTCAACATAATCTCCTTCTTTCTCAGGATATTTATTTGATTATCACTCACATAAATGGAACATTATACAGTGATAATTTCAGATCAAAATTCATCTAATAAATACATCTCAGGATGCGAATTTATTGATCCATCCTCGTAAATACGCAATCTTCCTTACCATATATACTTATAACATATGTAAGTCGATCTTATATCAAAATCGAATCGTCAAAATTCGGTTAAAAACATAATTTTAAAAAAAATTCAACAATGGCATTTCAGGAAAATGATTTCAAGAATCAGTATTGGAGTTAAGCTACGTTACTAACCCAAGGCCTTCGAAATAAAAATCGATCAGTCTCCAAGGTAACCACGTCACCAGAGTGTTTTGAAGGTGGGGGGACAAGTAAGATTTTGGCCACTAAAATTATTTCACATAACTTTTACAGAGGGGGGCAAATGATTAACGACTTGCTTGCTTCAAGCAAGACATTTAACAGTCACCACACATAATTACATTATCTGTGAGCTCATACCCATACATGTAAATACAGGTCATACCTATACCACATGAAGCTTAGTACAGATACCCCACCCACTCAGAACGGGCCTTTCCCTGGGGAAAAATGGAGGTAAAGGTGCAGTTCATCTGCCATATGCGAATCCTGGTGATGCAGATGAAGAACTGAGAGAAAAAACTATTCCGTGCTTCACTTTTGTTTCGGAACATGGTTGGACTCAAAAAACTGTGTCTTCAGCCATAAAAAATGTAATAGAAAGTCTTCTATAAGGAAATGCAAATTATTGTTCTTTTCTATCTGTTATTTCAACCTCATTCCACAGAGGTCGATGATTTCCCTTTTCCCTCCCTATGTGGTCAGCTACGTCTGATTTTTCGATTTCCCCTCAGGTTACGACTTTACGATGTTCTTGCAGTTTTACCTTAAGGTGGCGACTTGTTTCTCCTGTATATTTCTTACCACATCTGCACAGAATGGCGTACGCACAGCCCTTAGTCATGTTCTTCTCTATGGGGGTCTTACTCAGAAGAGGTATCTGTAAAGTGTTGAACCATTTTTGAAGGTCATACTGATGTTATAAGGAGCACAGATCTGTATTTTTCCAATAATCCCTTCACATAGGGTAGGCAGACCGAAGCTGTTTTTTTAGTGTTGTTATCCTCTTGTACCCTTCTATTCTAATTTGTCGGAGTTGCTGTCATGTACCCGGGGTAGTTGTTATGTTGTAGGGTACTGCTTATACTAACCATTTCTTGTTCATATGTCTCTGCGTTGCCTCTTATGACTTTTGATATTATGAACAGTGGGCAATCCATTTCTTTACACTGTTAATAGTGGGGGATGAAGTATTGTTGATATATTCATATTCGATATACAGATATCTTGAACCCATGCTCTATTGGAGATATTAGTACATCCAATAATGCTTGCTTATTGTTGTTTTCTCTCTTCATTGTGAACTGTATCGATGATCTTATTGAGTTCCCACAGTCCACTAGTAACTGGACCTCTTCCTGATGTGGCCAGAGTATGAATATGTCATATACATATCTCAGCCATAGGGTTGGCTTTAGTGATGTAGATTCTAATGCCATTTCTTCGAAGTATTCCAAGTATATGCTTGTCCTTGCTGGTGATAATGGCGAGCCCATGGCTAAGCCTTCATCCTGTCGATATATGTATGATCCCATTCCAAAATGTGTTGTTTGTGTACAGAAAGTCAGCATCTCCATCAGGTTATCTATCTGTGTAGTGCTTCGTTCTCCTAGGGATGAGTCCGAGGCCATTTTGTCCCTAACTACCGATATAATACATCCAGGAAAGCAAAGGAAATGCAATAATAACAATAAAATTGCAACATGAGCTCTGGTAAAAATGGTTAGTGAGACATTAAGTATATAAGTCCCAGAAATTCATACACTAATGTCCTCAAGGACACAAGACCCAGTGGATAAAAGCGTTGGTTGGATACAGTGACTTGACCCAAATAGTTGTTAGTTCAATGGTTACTGTAGTAGTGAACAAAAATGTGAAGTTAAAGGGAGACAACTGAGACACCTGGAAGAGGCATGGGACGTGGAACTAAAAAACAATTTACACCGGTGGACGAAATAAAGGGTTCGGTTCGAAATTCCAGTCACTGAAGGCTGAAGCGTACAACGGCTGAAACGTCGTGAATATGGCAATTAGGATGAGGACAACAGTCTGAACAATGTAAATAGTATAAATAATTACAATACTTCACTCTCAGAAATATAGACAGATATTGAAGCAGCCAGTCATTACGGAATAGATATGATAATAGGAGTAGTTAGGCGAGTGTATCATCCGGCTTACACTCCTCCTCAGTCTTTTGAACAGGAGTATAGGTTTAACTTTTGTTCTTGTTTGAGATTGGGTTTCCGGTTCCTTAGTCTACTTCAAATCTATACTTCTAATGTCTCCGCCTGAAATCTGATTTTTTTTTTCACTAATGTTTCTCCTAGCCCTACCCCCCGGATAGGAGTAGATAGGCTCGCCTATCCTCTGGTTAACAATTCTCCCCGATTTTTGAACAGGAGTAGAGGTTTATCCTTTGTTCCCTGATTAGGATTGTGTTCCCGTTTCCTTCAACTCTGTGCTTCTGACTCTTTGCCTGATATCTAAAATTTTATTCAGTAATTATTATTTTTCCTCTCCAAATAGGAGTAGATAGGTTTGACTATCGTCCAATTCAAACTGCTCAACAGTCTTTCGAACAGGAGTAGAGCTTCATCCCTTGTTTCTTGTTTAAGATTGGATTTCCGGTCCCTTCTAAAGTTTACTCCCACTCTAGACTCCTAATGTCTCCGCCTGAACTTAAATCTAGACCTTTAGAGAAGTCTGGAATTAGCCGTCTAGCTTTTCGGTTTTCTTGCCCTTTCCTACGCGAATACAACTCCACACAGTAACCCCACAAAATATAAAAAAATAATGTCATAGCTATACTGCATATAGATAGGTACAGTTTTAAAACTGATAAATAATCTTTAGATAACGAATAAAACTATTTTGTTAAGCATAAATTTCAAACTCTCAAGAGCAGTATTTAATTCAATAGATTTAACCGAAAATCCTAACTAAAATACCAATTTTTATATGACTTTTTTTTTCAATTTTTCTTAATAAGATAAAGCATTTGTCAGCCATTACTAAGTTTTAGCTCGTATTTCTTACGTCTTTATTTGATCGAATGAGTAAATTTTTTATTTGATTGTCTAACCGCTATAAAAGCCATGCTTACTCAATCGATAGAACTACCTATTATACATAGATGAAAGGTATCGTGTTTCGTCTTATTTATTTCTGATCTGCAGTGGTAATTCATTGTCAGACTGATGATCTGAGTAATTGAGATGAAAATAAAATAAAATTTAGATGAAAAGAAATAATAGTCCAAAGATTCATAATAGTTAATTGTTCTTTATCCTTTTATATTAAACGTATTGTATAATCCCATTTGTTATGCAAATTCAAACAACAATCTACAAATTCATGTTGAAATGCAAGTTTAAATTTTATAGAGAGATTTAGTCTTTAAAGGAACAAAAACAAAACAAAGAATAAAAACGAATGAATGCTTTAAAACCAAAAGTATACGAAGTTTTCACTAAAGATATACACTGCTGGCCAAAATCTTAAGGCCAATGAAAATAAAGAAAAAATATACCTTTTGTGTTGTTAGACGAATAATAAAAAGAAAAATTAAGATTAAAAAACTTTTTTAACATTTAATAGAGAAATGCTAATAGGTAAATACATAAGGAAATTTAGTCATTTGGGTTCAAGCATTACTGCAGTCAACGTCTCCCATTGGTATCACCTGCGTAACATTATGGCAAAAGCTAAAAAGCTGGCAGAGTTTGAACGTAGCAGAATTGTCGAGCTGCAAATGAAAGGTCTCTCTCAACGGGCCGTCCCTTGTGAGATTGGATGTCGTAAAGCTTCTGTTGCAAATTTCTTAAAAGACCCGGAGGAATACTGAACGAGAATTTCAAGTGATCAATCCAAGAAAATTTCGTCAGCATTGAGCAGGAGGATTCAACAGGTTGTCCGGCTGATCATCGAACCAAATTAAAGCCCTTATGGATACAGAATGCAGCTCAAGAACAATAAGACGGTATCTTCGAGAGAAGGGCTTTAAAAAATCGTAAACGTCTTCAAAGTTTACACCTTCTTCCATACTACAAAACAGTTCGGTTAAACTTTGCTGAGAAACGCCAAACGTAGGACATTGAAAAGTGGAAGAAGATTTTGTTCTCTGCTGAGAAGAGATTTAACCTGGATAATGCAGATGGCGTCCAACATTACTGGCACGATAAAGATTATCTCACCGGAGACATTTTCTACATGACATATTAAAGGAGGTTCTACCCTGATTTCTTTCCAAGGAACAATAGAACTTCAGGTTGTAAAGTGGCGTTGGCATGTTGCAGATAGCATCCTTATTGAGTGAAAGCCCTCGCTTGTGTGAAAATGACTGTATCTTTCACCAGGACAACACGGCAATCCATAATGCCCACAGAACAAATGACGTTTTCATGCTAAATAACTCAATTCTTTTGGACCATACAGCGTGTTTGACCGACCTGAACCCCATTGAAAATATTTGTGGGTGGATGGTAAGGGAAGTCTATAGAAATAAACGCCAATTCCAAACAGTACATGATCTTCGTGAAGGTATCTTTACCACTTGCATTCCAGCCAGCCTTCTGCAGTCGCTTATATCGACCATGCCAAAGCGAATTTTTAAAGTTATTCACAATGGCGTCCATTCAATTCAACACTGAAACGTTTTGTTAGGATTTTCACACTCTGTTTAGGATTTCTTTTAGGTATATTCTTAAACTTTTGATCAGCTAGTATTTAGCCTAATTTCAAAATATTCAAATTTTCTCTATTAAATTCTAAAAATGCTTTTAATTTTAATTTTTCTTATTTTCATTTTTGAAATTCTACTCAAATAAATGGTAAAAAAGTAAAAAAAAAAAAAAAAACGGCAAAAAGTATACTTTTTCATTATTTTCATTCGTCTTAAGATTTTGGCTAGCAGTACAACTGACCTTTCACTTAATTTGATATTTGGAAGTGAAATGATTTCTGATGTAACATCTTACACTAAAAATTATTATCATCCAGAAGATGATTCAGCGTCTGCGTTTTCATTCAGGCTGGCTTTAAAAGCCCCCCCCCTCACCGGAAAGAGCTTCCGTTTAATCGATATACCAGGTGTGTCAAGTATTTGAGAACACATTTTTAGAAAGTAATGTGACCAACTTTAACTAGTCTCTTTTTCAGTCTTGCCAAGGAAGCTTCGTCCCTCATGCAGGTGATGAAAAGGCACGCCCTTTTCATTGCTTTAGACATCAACCACAAGATTCTGAAACTGTAGATATTTTAAATGTTGCTAGATCCATCGTGTTTAAAATAAGAAAAGAACTTCAGGTCTCTGGTAAGAATGTGTTTTCACTGGCAAAAACAATATATTCTTGACGGACAGACATTATCAGAAATGTCAAGTTCGTCAAGCAAATCTAGGGTATCACTGACGATAATACCGGAAAATCAATGAGGGCTATTTCTGATGAGCTCCATGTGGCATAGTCAACAATAAAACGTGTGGAACACGAAGACATCAGATTCAAATCTTATGTTATCATGTCTAATAATACTCGGCAAAACTGTTTAATCTAGTTGAAATGCTGCCTTCCTTTTCTCACATATGAAGAACTTTATTTGCATGTTAATGTGTATGTAGTTTGACATCTAATGTATTCTTTAAATTTTTAATGCCTTAGTATTGCAACCGATTTTCTAGACAATTTCATTTACTCCTTACATCTTTATTTTAATATAAAGAATACAAAACAACATCAACAGCAACATAATAATAATAATAATAATAATAATAATAATTATTATTATTATTATTATTATTATTATAAATAAGGAGAATGTTGTAGTATCGAGGAGACTTGCTGATATTTAATCCAATGTATAAGTAGCTGTTAGTACTCATGCGATCACTAAACAAGCCAAATAATTATTACATTTCCTTCAACACCTGAACAAGAAAACCAGCAACTCTAATAATGTTTTTAAGCTTTATTTTTTTCAATTGAAAGGTAAGAAAATTTGTAAATGAACATGAATATGCATATAAAGATCATTTGGAGAATTACAATTATATCGACATACCTTCCAACAATCATCAATTCCATATCGGATGACTTGGTTCGTATTCTCCTCCAAATGTCGATAGTGAAGATAGTACTGGCACTATTGAAGATAGATGTCAAGGATGATATGAGGGCAGACATCATGACAGCCATCATTAAACCTCTGAGACCACTGGGCATTAGTTTTAGCACAAGCCTCGGATAGGCAGTATTAGTGCAACCAGATTTGCTTTGACAGAATTTCTCGCAAACATCCGGGTCAACACAGGTAACTGTATCTATAAAATATAAAATTAAAACAGTGAAATGATGGTTACTATATCTCCCCCCTCTCTCTCTCATATATATATATAAATACAATGTCAATTGCTATCTTCGGATTAGTCTCCCTTTGTTCCTGCTCCTTAGTAATGTTTTTTTTCTTCTAATTCTTCCACACCCAGTAACACCTTGTGTCTTAGTGGCTTTACTGTTTTTGCTTTTTGCTCGATTTATATTATATATATATATATATTGTTAAAGTTTGCTATATTTATGAGTAATGAATGCTCGATTGGAGATAAAGTGTGTGTAACTCAACACTGCGTTGTGGCTGTCTTTAAACGATCATCAAAATAGGTGTTACGACTCTATATAAAGCCATCAGGGGCTTATGAAATGTGGAAGAGGAGGGGCCCCGGTTTTTCCACATTTCTTTTTAGATTATTTATAGTCCTGATATTGATTTTGCCTATTTTATTTATTATTTTATTTATTTTCACATAATTTCATATTTCATTTTTTCTATTTTATTTAATTTAAAAGAGTATTTATTATGTTATTTTATTATTTTTTATATTTTCTTTGCTTCTAAAGTTAAGCATTTGTGATAACGTTAATTAGAATTAGGTTATGGAGTATGAATATAATTATGATGTAGTTGTAGGTAATATTGTAGGAATTTGTTTTCTTGTCTGCATTTGAAAATGGACTTTTGCATTTGTTTATTAGTTGTAATTTTCTCCTTGGTTCACATCGGCCTGTTCAGCCCACGGTAATAACTTTTCCGGCTGTATCAGCGTGATAGTTCCGATCACAACAGGCACCTATTCGTGTCTGCTCGCAATAATTGTGAACATGTCCCTAAAGAGGGCTAAGTATTTCTTTGCTGATAGAAGATTGGTTCAAATGACTATTGGCGACTCTGTAATAGCGTGTTAAATAAGATAGTATTTTATACCTCCTCTCTTCAATCAATTTAAGACTTTAACATCTTTTGATGATAAAGCAGAATGTTTTTCTCGCAAAATCTCTTCAAGTTCTAATCTTGACTAATTTAGAGTGTATTTACTTTCCACTTAGAACCGAGTCGCTATTGAGTGATATGTATATAACTCTGTCTGTTTTCTACTATCATCTATAAACTGGATCCTCATAACTCACATGGTCTTGATAGTATTCGCACAATAGCCCTTAAGCAATATGGTTCCTGTTCTCTCTAAACTATACAATAAATGCCATAGTGCTTTTTGCTTTCCTGTTTGTTAAAAATCCTGTTCTGTAGTTCCGTTTATTTAAACTCAGACGAACCGTCTGATCCTTCTATCTTCCTATTATCCTTCTACCTCCTTTTGGCAATGTATTAGAGTCTCTAATTAACTCTGAGTTGGTTAAACATATCACATCGCAAGATCTTCTTTCAGATAGGAAATATGTCTTTCGTTTCTCTAGGTCAATTGCTGAGGTATTAACGCTTATTGCTAAAACATTCTACAAAGCTTGAGATGAGAATGTTGAAGCTCGGGCTGTTGCTTTATACATCTCCAAGGCATTTGGCAGTGTTTGACACACTAGTCTTCTTCAAAAGTTGAAATGTTATTTATTTTAATTTTTGAAGTGATTCAGTCTTATCAAATAACGAAATGAAAATTGTCTTGGACGGCTGCACTTATAAATGTTTTTGCATTAATGTGGATGTGTTTTCCAGAGCTAGGTTGAACCTAGGTTGTTCCTAATTTTCATCAAGGAATATTCCTGATGTCATAAGTTCTTACTTCGGTGTCTATACTGATGACACAACTATTTACTCATGTCTTAATAGTAAGCCTGATCAGTCCGATGAGGTCAAATTGGCAGCTGATCTAAAAAAAATGACCTACCATATGTTGTTAACTGGAGTAAGAAATGGTTTGTTAATTTTAACGCCTCCAAAACGAAACTGCTCTCTTTTAATAGTTTGAGAAAACCTCTTCATGGCTAATGCTAACCTCCAGGAAAGTGACGCTTTCTCGAACTGACGTTTTCTACTGACACGAAATGGAAAGATGATATCAAATCAATTGTTAGGTTTACTGCTAGGAAAGTTGGTTCACTGTGTTGTGCAAGACAAATTTCCCGCCGCAATCTATCTTACATATCCATAAGTCTATCGTTCGTCTTTGAGTTGGATATTACTGTCACATCTGGTCTGGTGCAGTAGCTATATATTTAGAGAAATTTGATAAAATTCATAAAAGAATCTGCAATGTTATTGGTTCTGACCTGGCATCTCTACTTCAGTCATTTTACCACCGCCTTTTATGTGTTTTTCTACAAATTCCATGGTAATTGTTCTGATGAACTTTCCTCTATGGCACCTGCATTTTATTATTTAAAGCACAGTACTAGATTAGCAAAAAATATTTCATCATTTTACAGTTGAAATGGCTAGATGTAACCGTAAGTTTATGCTAACATTTTATTCTATCGCACTTCTCTCTTATGGGACTCTCTTCCGGCTTCTTGCTTACCTGTCAATTTTGACCTTCGAAAATTTAAAGGCAATATCAATCGTTATCTTCTGTCTTAATTCTCTTTCTTTTATTGTTCTCTCTCCTTAACAGTGTTTTCTCATATTCTCTAACACTAAGTAACCCCTTGCATCTTAGTGGTTTTATTACTTTGCTTGGGGTGAAATAATTTTAAAATATCCGCGAAAAAGCCTAAAGATCGCATTTGTTGGAATGCCAAGATAAAATCAGGAAGAAGAGCAATATTAGTTCAAATGCCAATGAAAACAAATTCATCAACATTTCAAGAAATGAATAAAAGGAATTGTATTCAAAATTATTTGACATGTGAAGTGAGAACAAAAATTCTTATTTTTAGCAGATCAGAAAATTCTATCAAAAAATATTAAATTTAATTATGAAAACTCGAAGTGTGACACATTATCAGAAGTTTTAGTAACATCAGCAATCAAAATCACTCCAAAGAAAACTAGACAAGAAAAAGAAAAGGAATGGATGAGTCAACATGGTGTAAAGGCGACAAAACCAATGCCAAAGTAGGCACACAATACAGAATACTGTACAAGGAAATTAGGAACATATGCTAATGGCTCAATAAAAAGTGTGCAGAAATAGAAAGAATGGATATTGCACATAAAGCAGCTAATGCATGAAAAAAAAAAAAAAGAACGGAACAAAAGATATGCATCAACATCAGGATTCATAAAATGCAAGGACGGGACATTGATATTAGAGAAAGAAAAAATCGTTCAGAGATGAAACGAATACATCGGAGAACTCTTCTACGGCGAAACTCGTAATGCTATAAATATCGAAGGAGCAGAAATATTGTGAAATCAGCACTAGATAATTTGAACAGAAATAAATCAACAAGACTAGAAGGAAATGTAATAGTGATCACGGGAGCTTTAGATGATTTTGGCATTGCCAAATTTACAGACATAATAAATTTAAATTAACACAAGGTGTAATATACCGGAAGACTTAAGTAGATCCATTTTTATAACTTTTCTAAGAAGCCAGGTAAAAACGAACGTAAACTTCATCGGAAAATCAGCCTAATGAGACCTATAACAAAACTTGTCATCGGAATTCTGAGTGGGCAGCAGAATTAGACTAGAAATAGGACAAGAACAATGCAGATTCCTTAAAGACACCGGAACAAGGAATGCGATATTTATGCTCAGAATGCTATCAGAGAGTAATATAAATGCAAAAGGAATGTGTACCTGTATTCTATATATTATGCAAAGACGTTTCATAAAGTACGTCACAAATATCTGATGGAATTGCTAGGAAATCTTAACATATTTGGAAATGATATTGGAATAATCCAGAACCGATACTTGGAGCAAAACCTCTGCATACGGAGAGAAAATGAATTCAGTAAATACACAAAATAGAAAGAAGTGTAATACAAGGATGTATCTTCTCAGCGAAATTATTCAACCTATATTGCAAGGTGATTCTGAGAGAATTAGAAGACCTACAAGAATTCATTATTGGTAGCCACAATTTTAACAACATAAGATATGCAAATGACACAGTGTTGATAGCAGACATAGAAAGGAAACTACAAGAATGCATAGTCTTCTAAAAAAAAGAAAGGATTAATCCTCAATTGCAAGAAGAAAGAATGCATGGTTGTCAGCAAAAGGAACAGCCTAACATGTAAATTAAAAATTGGAGATAACGAAATCAAACAAGTACAGCAATTTTAAATATCTGGGAAATGTTTTAACAGAAGAGGGAAACTACGAAACCGAAATCAAAGGGCGTATTAGGATGGCGAAAGATGCCTTCCAAAAGCTAAAAAGTATTAAGAAACAGGAAATTTCATTAGAAACCAAGAAAAACTACTAAATTTTCATATAATATCAGTCTTCCAATATTCTGGGAAATCTCAAAGATGAAGAAGAGAACTGAAACAACAGTAATTTGGTTCTAGAGAAGTATGTTGAGAATAGAATGGACTGAACATTACATAAATTAAATAAAAATAATAAATTACCGTCTGAACTAACCTACCAGGGATCGTTTTATATATATATATATATATATATATATATATATATATATATATATATATATATATATATATATGTGTGTGTGTGTGTGTGTGTGTGTGTGTGCGTGCGTGTGTGTGTGTGTGTGTATATGTATATATATACATAGATGCATACATACATATATATACATACATGCATACATACATACATACATACATACACATATATATATATATATATATATATATACATACATGTATATATACATACATATATACATAGTATAAAAATATAAAATTCTGTGAAATTTCAAATTCAAGCTGATCATCAAATTAAGATTTATTGTAAAAAAGAAGAAAACATTTCAGATTTTCTCACAGTTCGAGCACGCCACAAAATGAAAATGAAAGAACGTGAAAAGCTGAACAAATATTTAGGTTTTGCCAGAAATGTGAAAGAATTGCTGAGCATGGATATTAATCATCATTGTAGAAATGACTGGAAATACAAGTAAGAATCAAAATCATTTATACGACAGCATTGCTAAAATCAGAATACTGAGAATAGTGCTGACGTATTGTGGAGATTTTCTGTATTGATATTCATGGAATTCCACCGATTAAAAGTAATAATACCAAAATTATAGATTCTAAGGAGGGTTAAAACTGTCCAATTTACAGTGATGGTTGTCTCTGCGAGGTACTGCAGATATGAAGGCTTACTGACATTTAGCCTTCATTGAGAATCCAGAAGTATCTGATGTATGAATAGAAATAATAATAATAATAATATGCCCAACAACGGCCAAATTCATAACGGAGAGCATGAAAAACTGGAAGACTACACTAAATCTAAACCATACAAACGGGTCATTAACATCGAGACCAATCAACATGAAAAGCAGGATCTTCCAAAGAGATTCAGTGTCACCATTAGTCTTCTGCTTTTCATTATCGCCACTCAGCTACCTACTGAGCAACATTAGCTACGGATACAAGTCACAGAATGGCAAACTGAATCACCTGTTCTATATTGATGATCTGAAAACGTTTGCCGAGCAGCAGGAAAAAACCTACACACCATTGGTAAAACCTTCAGCGAATATATTAAGATGTAGATTGGAATCAAAGACACCTTCAAAGTGGTTAAACTAACGAAAACTACAAATGTAAACCTTGATATCAACAACAGAATGAAGGAACTAGACTAAGAGGTTATATACAAATACTTAGAAATTAATGAACTTAATGGGACCAATAAGATGAAGGCTATCAACACCACAGCTATACTCGTAGTAACATACAGCTTCAACATTATTAAATTGAAGTTGAATGACATTAAAAGATTGGACGCCAAGACCAAAAAAAATGCTTATCCAAATGTAGATGCACCACCCGAAATCAGATGTTGATAGGCTGTGCGTACCAAGAGTTTTAAGAGGCCGAGATTTGATCCAACTTGAAATAATTCTAAAAACTACAACATTTGGACTTTAAGTTAACCTTACAAAAACCAATAAGTCACTCCTACAAATAGTAAAACACCAAATCCACTTCATCAACAAATAAGCTAAACACTTCAAGAAACAGCTTAATATAACGGAAACCCTACCGACAAAAAACGAAGCGAATACAATCTACGCATAAAAGCAAAACAACTTGGCCAAATGAAATTAAAAAAACAAAAAAAACTGTGAAAATATGATCCATCTGTCGACCATATTATCCCTGGATGTCCAGAGCTAGCAAAAAATGAATATACCCACAGACATAACAAGGTAGCGATATATGTATACTGGAAGATATGCAAGAAGCACAAAATCGAAACCACTGAGAGATGGTATGAGCACCAATCAGACACAGATACCCAAAATAACGATCCCCTGAGACATGCCAATTCAAAGTGACAGGGAAATAACAGCCAACACACCCAATATTATAATAAAAGAACAAGAAATTCAGGAAGTGTATGCTTATTGACATAGTTGTACCATATGAGAGAAACACATCCATGAAAATTATCGAGAAATTGTTCAAATACAAGAACATGGAGAATGAGATTAACAGGATGTAGGAAATGAAGACTGAGACGGTACCAATAGTAACCGGAGCTCTGGGCCACGTGTGAAAAGGAATGGACAATTTTACTAACAGTTTTCCAGGTAACATCAACATACAAGTTGCCCAGAAGATCGTCTTGTTAGGAACATCCCATATACTAAGAAAGGTGCTATCAGTTAAATGACAATTCTCCTACAGGGCCTAAAGACCATATTTTGGACCCGGTTCTACAGGATACAAAGCAGGAAACATAACATACACAAATAATAATAATAATAATAATAATGCGGTTGGATTTATAACGACAATGACGTGTTTTTCGAAGCACCTGAAAATTTAATTTTCTTTTTTCCTTAAAAACGTAAATATGAAGTTTTATGGTAATCCATCCAAGCTGAGAGGAGGCACGGTGGAGTAATGGATAGCGGCTCGGATTGATGAATCGGAGAGCCGAGTTCGAATTCCAGTCGAATCCATTACATTCACTTATGGAAAGGTATGAATCCTCTTCTTCTCCCCCAGGTATGGGTAAATAGCAGGACAAACCGGGTTCTATATCCCTGGATGGCAACTGGTCTACCGCAGAAAAAAATGGCATCATACAGCGGGAAAAATCTGCCACGTCAGTCATATATCGAAATATACATGACACATAGCTGACTGACTGATCAAAGCTGTGCCGAAATTTCTACCTGTTTTCCTGTCATTTTCCAGGATCATTTTATTTATTAGTTGTTGATCTTTGCAAACATTAACCTCTTCGACATCCTTTCTGTTCCGAGGAAGAATGTTGTTTTCATCGAGAAAAGAGTAAGTACAGTTCATCACGACAGATGTGATAAATTTATATGTGGTGGACAGACATGTTATTAGCTTATAACTGTTTGGATCATCTGTTTTGACCGTTTGTGGTGGAGGATATGTAATACTTTCTGTGATCCATTCTGTAATTTCATTGGGATTATAAATTAGCATGGATAAAGCCAAAATTTGAGTACCTTCTCATTTCCTGGGGATTTCCATTTTGAGGATTTTGCCAGAGCTTGCCTAAATTTACTCTTTATTATATTTTTCTATTCTTTCTTGTCCTCGTTTGATCCACTTCACATTGATTCACATTCTTTTGATTTGCTCGAAATACTCTTCCAATAATTTTGCATTTCTTCAATAGATGGTGGATTTCTGACTATAAATGCTTTGCTTTCCCTGTAAAACTTCTTAAGGCTAGTTTGGAACATCTTATTTTGTCAATATAACGCTTTTCATATCGTCTTGTTCACTGTGCCATTAATTGCGATTTCTGTTTAAGTATTAGGTTGGTCAGAAAGTCATGACTCACTCAGGAAACGGAAAGACAACAACAAAATTTTATGGAGCAACACTAAAATTTATTCTTCATAATAAAGTTCATCATTCTCGACGATCTTCTGCCAGTTATCAGCCAGCATCCGAATCTGCCCGAGATTCCAGTCTGTTGGCTTTGAATAAAAAAAACTGTAAACAAGCTTCCTTCATTTCATCAAAAGTGTTGGATCGCTGGTCTCGGAGGAAGCGTGCCATTGAGCGGAATAGGCCATAGTCGCTCGGAGCAGCATCGGAACTGAATGGTGGACGTGGAAGATTCTCAACACCGTCCATCCATTTTAACTTTTCCTTAGTCAACCTGGCAGTGTGTGGCTTTGCACTGTCTTACAAATCCCGACCTCGATTGACCAAAGCAGGATACTCCTTCTTTAGTTTGTCGTACACGCGGTCTAGCTGCTGGTAATACTGGAACAAGCTCGAAATGCAGTACTCCTTGGAAGTTCCACCAGAGATCAAGATTTATTGTTTTCTTTCCGCTTCCTCAGTGAGTCAAAAGTTTCTGGCCAAACTAATTGTAGAAAAATCACGTGGTAGAGATAAACACTTAGTTGTGGAGCAAGCTAAGTGAATAACAATCCAACCTTTAGAAAGAGAGCTATTTATGTTGCCATAGAGCATCTCATTGTGCTAAAGTGGGATAGTCCATTGCTTGGGCTGTGATTGGCTGCTGGTACCTGAGTGGAGGTATTTCTATATAAATACCAGCTTGATTCATCTGTTAGTTTGCAGGGTTTGTATTAAGTTACAACCTGCTTTATTTTTGTCTGCCAGCTGGACGCTAGCTGGGACCTTTACACCGGTAAGTGCTGTTTATTATTGTTATTCTACACTAATATTTCTTTTATTGTTATTATTCAAGGAAATACTTAAACATATACTGCACAATCAAGTAAAAATTATTGTTATTATTATTATTACTATTATTATTATTATTATTATAGTATAATATAATCCATTTTAAATATAAATCATCATGTGGCTTTATATAAATATCGATTACGCCTTCTGTTCTACCCTTCTTAGTAGAAATGGGAACAGAAGGATTACTCGGTACCAATATGGGAATGTAGTTAGCATTAACAACTGAAATAGTAGAACATATTATTAATATGTTGCTTTTTTGTTTCTTTAGTTCTATGTTAGATTTTTTAAATACATATTTTAATGGTTTCAAAAACAATTCTTTCTTACATGCCATTAGGGTTTGTGTTGAATTGTCTGTCAAGAATGTTCAAATGACCGCTAGATGGATTTGACCCCATCCCCTACCCCCAAAAGAAAAAGGGTACAAACTCTCTTCCTCTCATTTTCCTCTTTTTACACATAGGATAACGTAAGGACAAGACATGACGAGATTTCTTAGTCCTCAGTGAACCGCAATGCCATATAGTACCCAATAAAGCCTAAAAATGTACTAAGCTGACGACTCTACTAAGCCAACAAACCACAAAAATATTGTTGCATGTACAATATTGTTTGTAAATTCATATTGGAATGAATTTACAGAATCTGTTCGCGAAAACATCTCATGCGCTCAACATATTATCACTATACCACCAGAAATATCTTATCAACCTATTATTAAATATATTTCATTAACAATAGATAACTCCGCAACAAGTTAACTGTATAAATACAAATTATTTTATAAATTTAATTTTATAGATAAAAATCTTAAATGGATAAAATATGAATATGCTGTCATTTTCTATGGTACGAGTAAACTAGTGATACTAATGCAAACGTAAATTTTAATAAAGATATTGATTTTAATAATAGAAAAATAATTATATTAACATATATTTTATGGGTTCAAATGTAGAAATATTTTTGCGCTAAGAAAAACAACACTATCGTAGGTACGAACAAATGACTTACCTGGGAACATAACTCGAGCCATCATACCAGGGAATACAATAATCCACAAGGGTAGAAATTTCAAATAACCAGCCAAAATAGTGCCACCTTTAACATGGGAGATATTTTTGGCTGCTAAGGCACGTTGAACAATTACCTGCAGGAATAATGCGTAATTTTATAGACATAAATAAAATATAACTCGTCATTACATATTATTACGGTAAAACCAATCCTCTTTTACTATAATAATTGATGAAATTTTTCGGAAATGTTGTCATAGTCAAAAGTAAATATCTATCCATGCTGCACTACAAAACAAATTATATTAGAAGATTGTTACCAGCCGATCATTTTGGATCAACAGTTCGATTTTGTCTTAATTCTTAAGAACTGTCATTTCCGCCCCACATCCTTAATGCACAATGTACCAACAGAATGCTGAAAGTGAGTTCAAACTTTAAGTTAAAAATGCAAAGTCCAGGAGTTAAATCATACAATTTAGTCATGTGAACGATTTTCATAGATTATTTTGATTAGATAACGTAAAGATTAAGAAATCATAATATTTTCAAATTATAAAGTATGCTTTATTACAAATTCTTCACTTTTTACCCTCTAGGTATGCCACTGAAGTTTTTTTTTAGCATAATTTTTGTTGCATGACATTGATAAGTAGTAAATTATCAACTATTAAAATTATTACAATCATATTCAATTTGTTCACATGCTAAATATACTATGGGAATTTTAGAATATATATAGATATGTCATTAATAATTCATGTTATTGTATGTAGTCATTAGTATGTAATCATTAGTACATGGAATTTGTATGCAGTTGCTTATGTAGTTTACGCAAACAGTCAGTCAATTATGTGCCATACGTGATACACGCTTAGGCGATCATGTATCGAAAAATACATGGCTGACGTGGCAGATTTTTTCCCGTAGTAGGTTCCCATTTCTTTCTGTCCTGCTTTTTTACCCATAGCTGAGGGGAGAAGAAGAGTATTCATACCTTTCCCAAGGGTATTAACACACGGCTCTCTGATTCCTCAATCCGAGCCGCTATCCATTACGCCACCGCGCCCCCCTTACGTAAACAGCAACTACATAAAATATTTCCAATGAATTTTTATATATAAAATAATTTCAAATTCTTTTCTATAGTAAGATCATTTGCAATGTATTTCTATAGCAACATAATTTGTTGTATTAATGTATTAGTAAAATAATTCCAAGTGGATTTTTTCATAATTTTGTTAGGTGGGTGCAAAAACTGCTTCAGCGTTTTCTTATTAAAATTAAAGATTGAATCCCACAGTGAAAAATTGCTTTTGTTGGCAACCTAGACACATGTCTAATCGTATTTTCCATTTAGTCGTAAATTTGATTATTAAATTGAATGAAAGTTTAGAAAATTCTGTTTAATAAATCTTATCTATGATATAATAGATTGCATAAACAGCTAGTAAATAAATAATTTGAATTAATCTTTATCGTAAATCTATTTGTAATCAATTTCTATGTATGCTTTGTTGCTATGTCACTATATATATATTAGAATACATCAAAACATTCATTAACAAAGTGAAGTTTTGATAAAAAGAAACAAAAAAAAAATGCATTACAAATTGCTATCATCAAGCTGCAAGGGTGTGAGAAATGGTCCATGGAGTTGTTGCGATACAAGCAATACAAAATCAATAGAGAGGTTTATCAGGATTGTCTTAGCGAGTAGCCAGGATAGAGACGCAAGTAAATAGCCTAAAATGAAAGCTATCCTGATAAACATTCAAATCTTTTCTTTACGGTTAATTATATGGAAAAGGGATTTTACTAAAAAAAAAAAAAAGAAAAAGAAAAATATATCCAGAATATACATTAATCATTTAACCAGTTAATACTCCAAAAACAGTCTTTGACATTTTTTTTGTTAACATTATTCCGTATGCAATGTTTGATTTACAATAAATCAAATGTATAATAATTGCGGCATATATATTTACCCATTATTAATTTTATGATAAAATGTTTTAAGCTTTGGATAATGATTGTTTACAGGCTGATTATATTTATTGTTATATTTATTGACAATATTTTATATATAATTTACAATTCAAAATGCCCCCATTTGCTTTCACTATAGCCTTTAATCTTTTGTCAACTGAAGAACATAACTTCCTCAGCACCTTTTCGCTCAAAATTTTACCACGAAGTCAAAAGAGTTTTTTCACGTCTGACACAATTGAGAAACATTGCTTTCTAATTGGGCCACATCGCAAGATCTATAGGATTAATGTCAGACCAAATTTTAAAATATCTCTTACAACAGTTCTGCGTCAAATTGGCCTTGCGCGCGGGACCTCTCTCTTCAGTGAAGTTATGGCGACTTACAAGTGTGGCTGGCAACCAGGGCAATACATCCCTCTCCAACATTTACTGGTAAACTGTTATTCACTTACATTACTTCAATGGACGTCAATGGTGACTTTGAACCATCAGAAGTAACAGCAACCCAATTCATGACACAAGTTGGTTTCTGTCACTTGAAATGTATTCTGATATCTTCAGGAATATTTTTACTGGAGAAGTGTCGCAAAACTTATCGATTTGGTATTTGACCACTAACTCCACAGTGAAAATCTTCCCGTCTGACCAAACTTTTCCTGCGATACGCTGTATCTCGTCCCTCTGACAATCGGTTTTTGCTTGGAGAGTAGCTGTCGTCGTTGAATCTTTTATAGTTTCAGCCCTAAATCATATTTCACAAACCTCCTAAGCGACCTATTCGAAATATCCAGCGTTTTTTCCATCTTCTTCATGCTTCTTCGTAGATTTATCTTCACCCTCTTCTTGACGGCTTCAGTGACTCTCCTACTACGAACTGAACGGTTTCCTCCTGGAACTGGATTTGGTAAAGTTGTTTACTCGCCTTGAAACTAATTAAATACATTAGCAACAGTTTTTCTGTAAATATTCAACTGTTTTATCACCTGCTAATTCTTCATAATATACATTTTCAATGCGACGAATTGATTATGATTTGTTTAGGCTGGCATATTTAGTTAAACAATAAACAATAAAACAAAAGAATGTTAGAAAATCTGATGCCAAATTTGAAGCTATTTGTGTTTCAGTTTATGCTTAAATAATGGGTAAATTTTTTTATAAATAATGAGTAGATATTTTTGCCGCGTCTGAAAAAAATGAATAATCTCATTTGAAAACAATAAATACCTGATCAGTACACCAATACCATATCGATGAAATAGTAAGCCCAATTATTACTCCTGGCCATGGTAGATTGGGGTCATCATACGGTCGAAACAAATGCATGGAATATTTTGACGGCAACCCACAATCTACGTATTTATACTTGGACGAATTTTTATCATCCCAGTAGATCATTGTTGTGTTCGGTTTCGCATTAAGGTATTTTCTTACTAGGTTTTCGTAACCACCCACCTCAATAAATCCTAGAATTAAAGAAAAGTTGAGTGAAATATTTGTGATTAAATGATAGGATACATTTTAGTTGCACAATCTATCAGATAATATATAATATCGGTGAAAATGAACGCGGAATCTCATTTAATCATGTAATAATCACATACTATTACATACTATTATTGTCGGATATTATTTAGACTAGTCTCTTCATACTAGTTGTTTATTTCACTACAGTTCAGCTGATATATTCTTTTACCTTTCTTATATTACCTAAGATATTTGATATCCTTTTTATTCAGACTAGTATCCCAACTTTGTTGTTTCTATCACTACAGTTCAGCTGATATATTCTTTTACCTTCCTCATATTGTCTAAAATTCCGAGATGAGATCATTCCATTATTCCAAAATTTATTCAAACTAGTATCTTATTGTTGTTATCACTACATTTCAACTGATCTTTGGCTTTTCTCAGATTGTTTAACATTTTGAGATAACTCATTGTTTCTTAATATTCGGACTAGGATCTTCACCTTTGTTGTTTTTGTCGCTACATTTCAGCTTTGAAATTAAAATAAAATAAAAGCTTCAAGAAAGCTTTCATTTTAAAAAATGCTTTTTAAACCTTAGAACAGGATTTTCTTTGGAGATAACTACTTAGAGATACTATTTGGGAAGTAGCCAATTCCGACTCAAATCTACTCTTTGTTTCTGTCTTTTTCCACATTTTCTATTTAATTGTCTGCCTTCTTATTGGCCTATGGGGCAGGAGATTGATTCGAGCCTTTCCGGGAGTGTTTATTTAATCTATGGGGAATTATGATTATCATGATTACTATTATTATATATGCTCACTTTTACAGCAAGTCTTCTAAAAACTCTAGCAGTATTTTCAGTGTTCCAGATAATTTTGTCAATTCTGTCATATAGCCGGATGGTTTCAAATCTTCCATGCATTCTCAATTCTTTTTAACTTTATTGCAAGGCTTTTCTGTAACGTTTCCCCCGCCCCAACAACGATAGACGTTGTGGCCAAATTAATATATGCGTAAGGAACCTAAATGTAATTTAGGTATCTTCAATACTTCGCTAAAAAGAGCATACCACGATGAAAATGGCCTCAAACTTAATAAACAATGTTTTTATTGTCTAAATGTTTATGTTATTATTAAGAGGAAAGACCAAAGTATTTTTACATGTGTTTTACATTTTTTAATCCTTCCTAGCACGTCCGAAATTTTAGTTAAAAATCAAGTTTTTTTGAGTCAGCAAAATTGCCATAAAATCGATCATGTCTGCCATTTTTGAAAACTTTGTAAACAAAAATTAAATATTCCGTCTAAAAATCTTATAAAAATCAATTATACATTTTCAAAAGTTATTTGAGGAAAATTTAGAAAATTTAAAGTTTATTTAATGTAATTGGAAACAAACATTACTTAAATTTTTAGCAGAAAAATTTAGTTGAAAATAAGAGTAGCATGTCTTATGTTGATTTGTTTTGGAGGCGTGAATTGACGTTTACCTCAATATATCGACAACTAACATCAGGGCAATTTATCGGACAGAAAGACAGAAGTGACAGTATTTTCTAATTTTAAGTGAAGTAATTTTTAAAAGATAATTTTTAAAAATTAAATACTTTCAAAAGTTCAATATTTTATTGATTTTTATGTACTTTTTTCATGAAGATATATCCAAAGCCTGCAATTGAATCGAAAAAAGAAAATAATTAATAATTGTAGTATGTCTCTCACTGAAAAACAATAAATTAGTTATATTTAAAAAATGAAATTAAAATATTTAGTGAAATAGGACGCAAAAAAGAAAATGAAAACTTTTGAAAATGCGATTATGATCGTCAGTCAGATAATTTGATACGTGCTATCCAGAAGGAAAGCAAAGCAATTTCTTAAGGCCATTTTCTTAAAACACGTGACCTATTATTTCTGAATTGTGCAACTATAGTTTTGGAGAAAACGTTTTAATACATTTTTTGCATATTAAAAAATATTTTAAAAATACTATCGTATCGTAGATTGTAATAAGCTTTCAAATTTATGATCTGTAAAAATAGATGAATTAATAACGACATTTCCAAAAAGACATGGATTCAAACTTAATTTTAAAATATTTAACAACTTTATCACATTTTGTATTTACAATTGAAAAAAAAAAGAAAACAATTCTTGTAAAAATTCATTTTTCATCGGAAAATATTTTGGCCTCAGACAATAGAGTCCTTAATATATATTATTCATAAAAGTCATTAAAAGCTTTTTTAATTAAATAATGTCTTAGTTTTATTGTTTTGTATTTTACAATTCAAAGCTGAATTTTGTTTAATATCGGGTTTCGATTTACAAAAAAAAAAATCGATAATTTATATGCTACAAAGTCTTCTGCTTTTTCACTAATATAATCACAAAATTACACAAAGTCCAATTTTCGAGTTTCCATAAAGTTAAGTAAGGGTAACAGATGTAAAAAATTTTTTTACCAAGACTTTGTAAAATCAAACATTTCTAAAATAATTTTATTCATCTGTGAATAAGTTTGATTATTTGATTTTTGATAGAATTTCCAAATTAATGTGTTTTTCAACTGGAAAAGGGCGCTAAAAAATTAATGATAAATATTACGGGACCGCTGACGTAAAATTAACCAAAATTTCGAACGTGCTTTATGTTGTTTCGGCTGCCATTAATAATGATTCTGTTTTTTTCTTTAGATCTATGTATGTATTATATATTATTACTTACTTAGTCGACACTTTAGCAGTAAGTCACCTCAGTAGTCTCGCATGTTTCTCAGTAGTCTACCTGTTTTCAATAATAATATCATCTGGATGCATTCAATTTCCCTCCTAATTTCTAATTCTTCCATTTTTTTCTAAGCCCTCCTAGACTGGTACAATTATCGCCTAAATGCCTCACACATTCTTCAGTTCTAATTTTAAATAGGTTTACTCGTAACATCAGAATAAGTACAAATGAGGATCTTCATAGTCACTAACCATTTCTCTTGTCATTCAAATGAAGGTGTGTCCTCTATATAGGACGAACTCTATAGATATGAAACGTGTATTCAAGTTTCATCAGATGCTATTTTCTTATTCTGCTTCCACGCCGCTTAAATTAACTATTGAAGAGTGAACCATCCTAAAGCGTTTTGAGAAGAAATATGGCAAAAAGTTTGTTAATCATTAATAAAAATAAATAAATGCATACTGTACTTCAGAATTTCAAACGAATTTAACGTTAATGACAACAATTTCATTCATTTCATGGCAAAATAGTAAAAGAGTTGTTTTTGCCTCTTTCATTATTTTATAGATATATCACAAATCACAATGAGGACTGAGCTGATTAAACTAAGGAACTGTAGAAGTTTTATATGTGTATATATGGTGAATATGAAATAAAAATAACTCTTTTCGCCACTGTTTTCAAATTCTCGAGCCTATGCGAAAATTTATTTTAACCAATGGAAAAAGGCATTGTTTCCGGGTTGAAGAGAAGACCAAGGCAAAATTTAACGAGCCTATGTGAAAGTTTATTTTGACCAATGGAATAGCGAGCGGCTTATAAACTAAGAAAAAAGTAACGGGCCAATTTGAAATCGCTCTTTGATATAAATAGGCAGAGAAAATTGAATCAAGGCAGAGAGAGAAAAGGCAGAGAGAGAAAAGGCAGAAAGAAGCAGGAGGCAGAAAGCCAGAGTTCCATGCGTCTGATTAGACAGGGCAAAGAAGTCTATTCAAATCCAAAGGTAAGTACCTTAAAATATATCTTTTCATTCATGTTGAATACAACCGTATAACTTTTATGTGAAAAACGAACTCTTTCAATTTGTTTTAAACATTTTGGAATATTACTTTGTGTCCGATGATATACTATGAACATTTTATCTTCTTGACACTTTATCGAAACTACGAACTTTAAATATTTGATTACTTTTCCTGAAACACGCTACTGATAACTTCAAATGTGTGAATTTGTAAATAAATTCCTTATCTTGTTTTGTTAAATATAGTACGTGTGTTTCCTCGTCATTATTCCTCAATACTTCATGAGATAGTGAGATCTTGTTAATATGGAAAATATTAAAAGAACGATAATACACGTGTATGTATGACAATTAAAGAGCGAAAACTGAATCGGATCAGATGTACGAAACGAAGGAATATTTGTAAAAATGTAAAAATTCCTAATCGAAACTTACCAAGAACCATAAGAACAAATGCGCCGACAATCATGATCAATGTCTGCACAAAATCCGTCCAAATGACCGCGGTTAGTCCCCCTGTTCAGAAAGTGAAACGAAATTAGCAACGTAAGCGTGCACAGATTCACACATACATATAATATATGAACACAATTAGACGCAGAGAATATTAACATTAATATTATCATATTTAATAGATTTCTGTGAGTTTTTCACGCTTAACAAGGTCTGAACAAATATGCATCTGCATTTCTGAGAAAGTTTTTTAAAGCTTTCAAATCGGTTGCATAATCTAATATTAAAGTAATTTTTTCAGTCGTTTTAGAATCTGATCATAGTTCTTTCTGAATTTTTGGGAAAGGTTTTATATTTTTATTCAAAAAGACACTTTAATTTAAATAAAATATAATTAAATTCATAAAACAAATATTCAACACGACTATGTGTCTGTCTCTCATAATTTTTATTTAACTATTTTTTCTTTTCAAATAGAAATATAACTTGAAATGTAAAAACATAATCGATTTTCAAAACAAAATTCTCAATGTATTTTGCTTCTATTCTCTTTCAAAATAGTAATTAAATTCATTTACGGAGAAATGTTTGCTTTTTTAATTTTATGTTTAAAAATGTATGTACTTAAAAAAAATCTAAATTTCCTTCAAAATAAATGGTAAATAATTATTTTTCGAAGAAGCATGACTCGCTATAGTTTTTGCATGAAAAAATGATTAAATTAAATATGTTTAAATATATCTTAATTTAAGTTTATTTACTTTAGATGTTTTAATCAAATTAGTCGTGTTGAATATTTGTTTTACGAATTTAACTAAATTTTATTTAAATTAATTTTCGAAAAAAAAGACTCGCTATAGTTTTTTATGTTAATAAAATTTAATTTTAAATTATATTCCTTTTTATGTTAGTTACAAATAAAAAAAACAATGAAGTTTATTTTTTAAAGATTGAATAAAAAATTATATTCAATAAGATGGCAGAAAAATATTAATAAGAATAATACACACACACATACACACACACGTACAGGCAATTGCTCTTTAGGGTGATACTGAGTCTATATATATTTATTTTGTCGTAAATTATTGTGGTTTTGAATATTTGAATAAATAATTATTAAACTTTTTTCAAATAATTGTATTCAATATTCTTCTTTTAAATTTACTTCGTTGTTTTAATATTCATTTTTTAAAGTTACTCTTTTATTTACTATAGAAATTTAAAAAAGCACATACATGTATAGCGTTTCAAAAGTATCAGCAGAATTAAAAAGTAAAAACAAACGGTGATAATAATCAAGAATAAGAATTATTACGGTTCGTTTTTACTTCTTAATTCTGAGAATTTCGAATGCTTTCTAATGCATTTTAATCTTAAAATATCTTCGTAAATACAAATCATATGATGATAAGTGTTTTACAAATAGCTGGCTTGGGTGATAATGAGTTAATTATTGTACTTTTTTAGTTTTAGCCGGACATGCGCACATAGAAAACAGCCCTTTATATATATATATATATATATATATATGTCCGAATAAAACTTTGACGTAGTGTAATGTTTAGCAAACTTGTCTTGCTAGATCAATTATAAAGGAATAGTGAGTTCGACCCTCACTGTGTTCGTCCTTGTGCTACATTTAAACTATTAGTTACGCTATTCTTCTAAATTGTTGGAAGTTTGCTTACCTAGAAAATCATCATCCAAAATGTTTGCTTTTAGCTGTCCTTATACATAAAGCATTAATGAGAAAGACACAACTGTCTTAACCATCAAGCAGTCGCTTTACTAAAAAAATTTCTCTCTCTCTCTCTCTCTATTTATCATATACACTTTCTTTGGCATAGAGCCAAAGTAAGGTAGGAGTTAGGGAAGGAGGGAGAATTTTATGGTTTGTAACTGAGTTCAAACACCGCCTCCTCTTTATAGATATATATTCCTGTTTCTCTAACTGGATACTACACTAATTTATACTTTAAATTTGATTGTCTAAAGGAATAGCGAACAGATACTTTTCAAAAAACTATTAAGAGATCAAAAGGTAATATTAGAAATGTAGGGTAGAGTTGGCAGGGCCTAGAGTTGATGTGTGGTCGGTTCAGTTGACTGAAGTTATTGATGGTGACGTTGAGACCTGGCCGGTGGTGGATTCGTTGAAACTTGCTTTCTTTGATATAGTATTTTATATTTTTTGAGGGGTTTGTTTTGTGGAACGGATGTGATGCTCGGAGCCCCTGAGTAAAGAAGACTTTATTTTTGGTTTTGCCTTCTTAGTGTTCACATCCGGACGACATATAGAGTGAATCAGAAATCGATCTAATTTTAAGCGGTGTATTCAAAACGATGTCGGTAGTGTGACAAACATTGTCAGTCAGAAATTATTTCTGCTAACGCTATAAAACGATGTCGGTAGTGTAACAAACATTGTCAGTCAGAAATTATTTCTGCTAACGCTATAAAACAATGTCGGTAAAACCGTATAAAAAATTATTGTCAGAGTTATAAAGCATTGCTACGGATACTACAAAACAACATGAGAAAAATAATGCAGCATAGAATTTTCAGTCATAAATATGACTGATGATATAAAATGGCTTTGGTATAATAGTATAGCAAACCGTTGTTAGAGTTACAAAGCATTACTGCTGATGTTATCAAATGATGTCAGGGCAAAACATTTTCAGAGTAAAAAATAATTACTTTTTCTTTGTGTCATGTCCTTCAGAACGTGGGCAATCATAGATCTCAAAAACTTCTTGACCTTTGTAGTGCCTAGTAAAGTTTGTTTTTTTGATATCTCTACTAATCCCTGTTCTGCCAACCAGTTACGCCAGCTCGTTAGGTTACTTGCTGCTTTCCTCTGCCTCTCTTACCTTCATTATGTTCAGTGAGTATCAAATTTTCTAAGCCCTCTTTCCTCATTATTTAGTCCAGAAATTTCAACTCTACCTTTCTGATGTCTATAGTATTCTCAGCATCCTTTTATAGAACCAAATTTCTGTGGCCACAAGTTTTTCTTCGTGTGATAGGATGGTCTTCGTTCGTGAAGAGATTGTCCAGTATTTACTGCCATATAGGAGAACTTGTATTACATAACATTTCAGTGTCCTTTTCTTTGTTTCTAACGAAAATTTCCCGTTACTTTCTTAACCATTTCGAATGCATCTTTCGCTATTCCAACGCGCCTTCGGATTTCGGTGTCATGTTTTTCGGCCTCTATTAAATCTTTTCCTAAATATTTAAATTGTTGTACTTGCCTGATGTTGGTATCTCCAATTTGTAATTTGTATGTTGGGCTGTTTTTTTTATTTTTATTTTTTTTGCTAACAACAATGCATTCTGTCTTCTTGCAATTGATGTTTAGTTCTTTTTCTTGCTTTCCTTCACTACCTTCTGTGGGAGTTCCTGTAGTTTAATTTTTGTGTTTGCTGTCAACACTATGTCATATTGTGACTGCTAATAATGAAACCTAGTAAGACTCTTCCCAAATAAATCAAGCTTACCTAGAAATTTCAATAGTTCTCTGTGTCGTGCTCTATCAAATACGTTTTCATAATCTATAAAACATAGGTATACATCCTCCTGCATTTATATTGCTCTTCTGAGCATGAATATTGCATGAATATTGCATCCTTTGTCCCAGTATTTTTAACGAACCTGCACTTTTCTTGTTCTATTTCTAATTTAATTCTACTGAGTGTTCTATCAATCAAAATTCGGATAAGTTTTGTTATATAGCTCATTAGGATGATTTTTTGATGGAGTTCGCATTCATTTGCACCTGGCTTCTTTGGCAGTGCTATGAAAATGGATCTACTTAGATCTTCCGGTATAGCAACACTGTTGTATATTTCATTTATTATTTCTGTAATTTTGTCAATGGCAAAATCATTTCATCATGTCAGGCTCACTATAACAATTCCATCTGCTGCTTTGTTCCTGATCAAATTGGGCAGTCTTGATTTCATTTCAAATTTTAATATTTCTGGTCCAACTTTATTTCTGTGCATTGCGGGTTTGTTCTCTTTCTTCGAGGAAGAGTTCTCCGATGTATTCATTCCATCTCTGAAGTATTTTTTCTTTATCAGTGTCCTGTCCTTTGTTTTTTCATGCATCTTGTTGATGAGCATATCTTTTGTTCTGTTTGTTCTCTTATTCTACTATACATATCTGCCTTATCTGTAATACTCAGTTTACCAAATACTTCACCATTTTTGTCCTTGCCTACTTTCGTATTCAGGTCTTCCATGATGATTGTCATTTTCTGCGATTTGCATTGAGTCTTGGCGTTGTCTTGAGTACATTTATTTTTTTTCTTTTTCCGTACTTTCTGCTGCCGATGCACAAGTAAAATGGATATATTAAAAGACTTTCCTTTCATTTTAATGATATGAATTCTTTCAGAAGTTGACAAATTTCTTCATGTTTTGGTCTAAAATAAGTCCAACTTCCTTCTCATTTTTATTTCCGCCTGCATATATAACCCTGTGTTTGGCAACTAGTTTCGTACGCGCATAAAATATTAAAATGTAACCTATTCATTTCCAGCTCTGTATTCTCTAACTAGCCACATTGATTTTGTGTTCTAACATTCTATGTCCCTAAAACTATTTTTCTTTGATGTGAACAGTCGCTGGATGACGGTCCAGTGACACCTCTCGCTTCCTTTACCGGACAAAGGATCAATTCCAAGCAGTTTGGTCCCCTTTAAGTCGATGTATATGTCCCTCCTTACCTGGCGAGGAGTTTATTCCAATAGATTTAATGCCATTAGTTTTCATACTAATGCTATAAATAGACGTCAGTAAAATAGTCTCACAAATCATTGTAAAAGTTACAAAGCATTACTGCTGTAAATAATTCACTGTTTAGATGTCAATCTGAAATTTTACCTTTATTACAAATTAAGTTACACTTCATACAGTGGATGTTTTATATATTGGGCTAGTAAATAAACTACGATATACAGAATAACTTAGCAGTGCTTGCTTAGATAACAACGAAAAGATTGTGATAATGGCAATAAAAACGATGAATTTTTCCCGAATGTCAAAATAACACTGTTCTCAGAAATTCAAACAGAATATTTGCTATGATATATAACGACGAAAACATTATGATAATATTAATAATAGAAAAAACAATCAAAATGTTTTAAAACAGAAGAAACATATAAGCATAAGTGAATGATTTAATGACACTGTCTTCAGAAATTCGAATCGAAAGATAGAGGGAGTAAAAATGTACGATAAATGGCGCAATTGCGTCGATGTTTTAATAAAAAAAAGTCAATTTATCCAGACAGGATTGAATAACACAGCTACCCATAACCTAAAGTCTATACGTCTAACTTTTGTGCTACAGAATTGATCTGGTTTTTTGATTGGTCAATCTAGACATACCCATAAAACTTTGAAATCTCCTTTTTAAATCGTAAATAAACTACTGTATTTTTTCTGTTTTCAAAATTAAATCTTTTTTAATGTGAGTTACCAAAAACTCCTGATGAGTTGAAACAATTTTCAGTTCCGAAACATGAAATGATGTAAATTATTTTTCTAATAATATATATATATATATATATATATATATATATATACATATCTTATGCAGTGTTACATTAGAACCTGCACATATCCACTACAAAAAATTGTACATTTTATTTCAACGTCAAAAACCTTTTTTAGACGTCTCATCAGGTGGGGAATCACGGTGTTACTCTGTGATTCCCCACCTGATGAGACGTCTATAAAAGGTTTCCCCCCTTTTTGATGTTGAAACGAAAATGTACAATTTTGTAGTGGATATGTGCAGGTTCTAATGTAACACTGCAATACTTTATGTATTGAGCGCTATTTTTAAATTAATGGTTTAAACGCTGTAATCCTACTGTTCGTTCTTCTACACTTTAATATATATATATATATATATATATATATGAGAGGGAGACAATTGTGAAGAGTTTTTAAACTAATCTACTTCGCAAACATTTTTTAAATTACTTCTTTTCAGCAAGTCATAAAGTTATGAAAAAATATATAATATACCTAATTGAAAAATATTAAATGGTATATCATAAATTCGTTATTTATTTTTTACAAATCTCTTATTTTGATGAAAATAATTCCCCCATTCTACTTGCTAATCCTTATCAACTATGCATAGAATCGAGTAATCTTTTTTTTTAATTTCTAAAACTGTAATTTTTTGTTTTTATTTTACTCACTGCGTATATTATTCTAGTTTATTTTTGTAATTTTTTTTTTCGTGACTGAACGCGCATTCTTGAGATTATATCTAATTGTACCAGGTGAAACAGACACGAGTGACCTGTAAATTTCTTCTAACCATTGCCATTTCATTTGATCCATAGTAAACTATGTATTGAGTGTGATAATTGGTTGCCGAAGACAGTAGCAATGAGAACGGATAAATAATATTCATATATAAAAACAAATCATTAGTTCAACTACAGGCCAAAGAAAAACTACAAGGTAACCAAAAAAGTTCTGTCCGTTTTTTGATTGACTGAAGTTGAAATATATACGAAATACGTGTAGCAATTGTTTTCAAATTCGGAGAGCCGGAACTAGGAACATCAGACGTTATAAAAAACACGCGCAGCGTGCCCAGCCATTAGTTATAAGCCGGACAGCTGTGAGAAGGATGGAAGTGTCTAGAGATCTCGTTCGACTTCAAAGTGGGCTTATCAGCTGCTGCATCAAGTCGCCGCATATGCCAAGCGTTTGGTGATAGTGCTGTGAATGAACGTACTGCAAGGCGTTGGTTTCGAAAATTCAAGTCGGGAGATTTGTCTCTCCATGATGAGCCACGCAGTGGACGACCATAGGTCTTGAATGACGGAGACCTGAAGGCGGCCATTGAAGAGGACAGTAGTCTAATATGTGCTGAACTTGCAAGACAGTTCAACATTTCCGATGAAACAGTCAGACTTCACCGGCACCGCCTAGGTAAGACGTACAAACTGAGCAAGTGGGTTCCGCAAACGCTGTTGGAAGTCCACAAGGGACAACGAGTGGTAGCCTGCGTATCGCTGCTTTCTCGCCACCGTACCGCATCCTTATTCAATCGAGTGCTTACCAGTGATGAAAAGTGGCTTCTGTACGCAACTCCCAAGCGTTCCAGACATTGGTTGTCTCTTCAGGATGCTGTCCCTCACACCGCAAGACCGCCTATGCACCCACGCAAGATTATGCTTTGTGTCTGGTGGACAGGTCGTCAAGTGGTTCATTATGAACTGCTACCAACGGGCCAAACGGTCACTGGAGATCTATACACGCAGCAATTGAAACGTGCGCAACAGGTATTGCGCCAGAAGGATCCAGAACTGGTGAATCGCAAAGGTGTGCTTTTCCCCCATGACAACGCCAGGCCGCATGTCGCGCGAGTGGTCAGGGATATCATACAGCAACTTGGGTGGGAGACTTTGTGCCATCCACCTGACCTTTCGCCATTCGATTACCACCTCTTCCACTCCCTGGGTAATCATCTTGGTGGGAAATCCTTCACCAATGAAGCAGACTTGCGCAAAGCCCTCACGTACTTCTTTGCGTCAAAACCCCCCAAGTTCTACCGCAAGGGCATTGAATAGCTGGAGACACGTTGGCAGAAGGTGCTGCATGCCGATGGCGATTACTTGGAAGACTAAATATAAGTTACACATACTGTGAAGCGTTTTCTTTTTTTCCTTCAAAAACGGACAGAACTTTTTTGGTTACCTTGTATACCACAATTTTTAGAAAGAGTCATTGAATGAATGCAACGTACCTCCTATTGTAAAAAGTGCAGCAACAGCCAAAAGTATAAGAGTGGCAAGATAAATATTCATTCCAATCGCCATTTTGATGAACAAAGCTCCAGAGTATAGATCTGCCTATAAGAATGAAGCAAAAGAAATAATACTATGGACATGAGCAATACAACATCAAGGAGTGTATGTTCGTAACATTTAATTTAATTTACATTCGCCTGATGAGATGCATTGATATGCATTGCAACACGACTGCAACTGTGTAGCGATTTTTACATGTTTTCGGTTTAATATCCTGATATAAATATATATATATATATATATATATATACACACACACACACACACACACACACACATATATATATATATATATATATATATATATATATATATACGGTATCCCCAAAATTTTACTCACACTTTAAATGACAATAAATGCAGTGCTTATAAACTTGTAAACAAGAATGGTTTAAATTAAGAAACATTAATGTTTATTGACGCACAAAGAATATTAACGGTTTAAAATAAAATAAAATAAAATTTATGTTTTTAAAAATGTTCATAAATAGTCCTATATATATATATATATATATATCCGAACAAAAGAAACCAAATTACTTCGAATGATGTTAACTTGGCATGAAATTAAAAAGTAAATGATATATTGTAATATTTATTTTTAAGAACATTTCTAAAGTACACTTATTTTTATTGATTATCAATTATTGATAAATTTATCATTAATCTTACTAATCTTCTTTTTACTGTGACGTTAAATTTATTTTATCATGAAGATACAAAAGTAAGATGAAAGATTAGTCAAATTTTTAATAAAAAGACTTCAAATAAGAAATTTAAACAACTTAAAACCGACACTTACCGATATTTTTGTGAAAACGTACAAGAGCAAAGCAAGAACGCTGAGATAAATACGGATACGTTTTCCTCCGAATCGTTTTTTCAAATATTCTGGCATTGTGTAAACCTGGAAAATGTATTTATTAGATCAATATAAATTATAACGAAAATAACGCTGTTATTATATTTCAGGGTGTTAGTAGGTATATGAAAAAAAAAAAAAAAAGAATGAAAGGCACCTAATAAAGAATTGTTGTCCTTCAAGATGTAGAATGTTCAGCCTGCTAAAAATTGATGAATGTGGTAGTTTGCAGAATAAATCAAGGGACGTTCACATTCAAATGTGCTGTATCTTGTTTCCACATAAGAAAATTTCCAAGAGAAAAATAAATTAATTTCCAGTCGCCGTCGATACTGTGTTGAAGAACAACGCCAATTCCTTGAAATGAAACATCTAACGCTAAACACAATTCACAATCAGTGACGACATTTGACAGTTTCACAGCATGCGATAATGCCAATTTGATTTCTTGAAACTCATCCAAAGCAGGATCTGAGAAAATATTAAAATTGTTAATGTTTGAAGATGTGTGCAAAAAGTATCTGAAAAACTGACTATGTCACCAAATTGACATAAGTATCTTATGGTGGGTGGTACATTAAATGTCTCAATAGCTTTCACTTTCCACGGAGATATACTGGCTGAGGAAATGTGGAAATGTCAAAGAAAAACAATTTCGGATCTACCGAATTCACATTTACTCTCAATGTTATGATTACACAGAATTGTTTGTCGTAGTTCTTCACCAGCGCCTCAACAGGCTCCACATAGTTTTCAGCCTTGTGGTACCCCAGGAAACCGCGAACCACTGCCACAAATCTGTTCCACACTGTTTTCTCCGTCCTTCTTGGGGAATTCCTTGCACTTTATTTGTAGTCCGATGAAGACTCCAGCTTTGACTTTTGCTTCAGACAGCTTAGGGAAGAAGTCTTGAAGTTATTTGAAGGCTGCAGACTCCTTATCTAGAGCTGTGACAAATTGTTTTAAGAGCTGCGAATGAAACAATAATTTCCGTGGGTCTAACAATGATTTCCATTTGACGTTGTTCTTCCCTACACTGAACTGTCGCCAGCTAGTGTAACACGGTGACCCTGCTGTCCCAAAGGCAAAATATAACACGAAAACTTAGTAAAGCCTCGTTGGAGATCCATCAGGAAGGCCACCATTTTTAAATCTCCGATAACCTCCTCCCAACCGTACACTTCATATTTTAAGGCAAACTAGCAAGATCTTGACACTGTTGCATTCCTCTTTAAGCTGAGGTCGAGTAAGACAGGGGAAAAGATGCATTCGTCACAGATGGCAATTGCATATCTCCAAAATAGGAAATTGTACATCACCTATGTCGACCTCACAGCAGCACATCAATAGTCATACTTTTCGCATATATTAGAAACTGTCTCCAGTGAATACATAGATCTGATAGGGGAATTATATTGGTTCACATGTTTGGCGAAGTCCCCAATAGCGAATAATTTCACAATTCATCAGGAGTATGACAAGAAAGACCTGAGAACCTTAATCTATTTAATCTATTTCTAGACTTTTACCTGCGCATATACACGCACAGATTGGAAGAGATGGGCAATGATACTTTAAGTATTTCATACTACATCCCAAACAAATAGAAAACAACCTTCCTCGTTTCCTTCCTGATGATGAGGGGGCTATGCTGACTACATAGGTATTCATAATTAGGAGAAATTATCTTGAACAAAATAATTCCACACCCTCTACAAAGTATTCCAAAGAATAGAAAACAAAAGAAACCTTTCCAAAACAGAAACAATGATCTGGAGTTGGAGTGAAAGCAAAGATGGTACATACACTAAATCGGTCATAAAAAAATTCAGGATGTGGAATTAGTAAATACCAAAAACTTCACATACCGAGGAATATGGATAAGTTATAAGTAATTTAGTATAAAACATAAATTAAACATAGAAACTGTGCGAGATGTAGTTTCACCCAACACTTCAAATTGCTACCAAGCCAAAACATTAGCCTGAAAATTGTAGTCATGTCTTTAAATAGTCTCACCAAACCCGTTCAGAAATATCTAAACTGTCAGCTCTATACAGCCGCTTTCTATGATCAATGATTAAAAATAGCTTTGAGCAAGTGAAGCCTGTGGATCTTTGGTGAAGACCATTTGTCTTCGAACATTGTGAACTGGCGCTATAAAATCACAAAACTTTTCTTCGAAATAGTATGAAATGTCAAACATCTTGATTCTTGATTATTTTTTTATCTAGTTACATGTGCTACTCAGTTCGTTGGTGATACATAAAATATTAACCAGTGAATTAAGTACATTCAATAGGAAGGTTATTGTATTGAAAAACAAACATTGTGAAAAACACATTTTTTTAACACTTAGCTTATGAATCTATGTGTTTGTGCGTGCGTGCGTGCGTGCGCCCACGCGCGTCTGTGTGTGTGAAATGAGAGAAAGAATACGATATACTTACTGCTGAAGAAATATAAACAGGTACGAATATCCATCCCAATAACAGAAGTATAAATATTGCCTGAAATAAATAATATTTTAAGTATGATATACTTGACGTTGACTACATTTACGTAATCATTTGAAAATCATTCCTTGAACCCTAAAATCAGTTAAAGTGCAAGATTGTTTAATTGTAGACCATCATAAATTAGCTAAAGTTAAGGAAGACATAGGAATTAATTTATTTTATTCATAAAGTTAAGGAACATATGTTTACTCGCGGAAATACGTGTTTTTAAAATGCATTAACGCCAAATTTGTCACGTTACATAATTTCTTGACAGTTTATGATTATAGTTTTAATTTAAAAAGCTGTGAATATCTGGCAATGAGGGCTCCACGACTAGAGAAAGAATGACGGCTTCGAATATGTTGGCAGTCATAGATTCTAATCTCTACAGATTTTAAACATTCTCCCACCTAAACAAATCTGAGAGGCAAAATGTTCAGTATATTTGATTTAACAATCTCTTCACTATACTAGTCAGCTAAATTAATTCCATTTGAGTTATTAGTATTGTCATACATAGATACAGTATGTCGGAAAAAGCTAAATGATTATTTTTATTATTTGATTTGATAATCAACACTTCATTATTTGTAGTATATAACTTAAGATCAGCTTCTGAAAGGTTGTAATGAGATTTCTTCTTTTTGAGACTCAGTGTCGATGGTAGCATGATGATCACAAATAACAGCGGAGTTAGCGAATTGCTTTGAAACATTAGACGTACTTGACCAAATTCTTTTCTTCTTGATGTTCCAGTTAGCCTTGTTGTTCCGTATAAATGTTAAAATATTCCTATCCCACCAACCATATCCATATATTTTGGGACTTCGATGTCGTGTAATGGCTAGCAAATTATTTCACTAGAACAATTACAACTGAGTAGTGATTTCGATTCTCACTGGGTGTCCCATACATTTGGCCTTGCACCACATCTAAGCTACACTTAGAAAATCACCATGTCCATGAATTTTAGGATCCATAAGTGTGGCGCCATATCGTAGGCTTGGCGATAATCTATCAAGTCTATAGACAGGCTTGTCTGGTGGCTTACACCGCAGCTTAGGAGCCAGAAAGTTTTATAAATACTCCAGTATTCTTTTCTGTTTCTTAGGTGCTTTTAATAATGGCGGATAGTTCCAATATTCCCCTAATTTTCACTTCCTTCATTATTTTTCGAGACCCTTTAGAACTGTTCCCATCAGTCAACTGTCTACAATTTCTACAGCCCTCTTGCAATGTTTATGTTCTAAGGTGATGAAAAAAAAAGAAACTTTTATATAATGTAGAATATATATAGTTGTTATCCCAGTGATCTCAAAAGCGAAGTCGCTTGGAGTAGTAAGAACTGTAGGGCCACCTATGGCAGTAAGGTCGAAGAGGAAGGACCAGGCTAAAAGAGATCAATCCCAGAAGACTGTAGAATAGGCAAAGATCTACACGATCTCAACGGCCAAGCCCGACAGAAGAGGAAGTATCAGTTGTGTTGGCATAAACCAAGGCTAACTTTAATAGATCAATTAAAACCAAGTTTGCAAGAACCACGAGGAAGACGCTACTGACGAAGTGTGTGGGTTTCAACGTCACGCAGACCTGTCCACCAAAATCAAATTCATGCGAATGGTCTCATCAAAACCCTCTTTGATTCTCGGTTATCTCTACCACCAGCACCACCAGCACCACCAGCACCAGCACCAGCACCACCAGCAGCAGCAGCAGCAGCAGCGAGAGAAAGGGAATAGGGAAAGAGGGTGACGGTCACTATGCTCAGATACGAGCGGATGATAACGATGATATATAGTTGAAAATTTAAACAAATGAAAATGAAATACAGTAGATTTAATATGAATTTATATAAGGCTATAACTGATTTTGTTAGTATGATTTAGATAATGACCCATTCAAACGCATATTTATTCTTTTCCTTATTTCTAAGCCCGTATGTTTATTCAAACATAATTGAATGATGCTATTACAAGAATCCAATCAGATGTTAAAGGCATGAAACTTACAGTTAATTCAAAAATAGATATACCGATACCACCGGCCGCTCCAGATCCTGCAAGTCCAACAAAATGACCACTTCCAATATTGCTTGCAAACAAAGAAGCCCCAACCTGATTAAAAAGAACAAAGATAGAAAATAACCAAAATGATTGATATTTCCAATGACATTGTAGAAGGTGAAAATGGACAAATAAAAAAATAGGCATTTATTTAATCGGTGTGTACGAATGTTTCCAGAAAAAAATCTTGTTTTCAATTGTGTAACCAGCATCTATATTTCAAAAATGAGAGTTGGGAACTTTTACAAAAACATAATAATAATAAAAGTAAATTTGATTAAAAATATATTTGCTGCTTTCGGCCAACATATTCTATGGTATTCAAATTAAGTTGTAGAAATTTGAAACGAAGTTGTCTAGGACAAAGTTGTAACTCACATACCAATCTCCACTAACTTGTTATGATATGTAACAACACTTAGACTACATTTCGAAATACAGTAACAAAGCAAAAATATAGTGAAAAACAGATATTGAGCGGAATCAAAATAAATAAAATTGAAAATAAATGTTTGTATTCATTTATTTATTGATACTTTAATTATTATTTTTTGAAAAGATAATTTAAAAAATAGGACATCATCTATATATGCGAATGTAAATGGTAAGCCGCGGAGTACCTCATTAATTAGTCACTAAAAAGTCTTAGTAGCGTTGCGCAGACCAAACGGCATCCGCGTAAAACTCTTATAAACGAAATGGGGGGGGTGATCGCTGTTTTCTTGACATCTTCCTCAGCGACTGGAATTTGGTAAAATGCTTTTAGCAGATCCAATTTTGTGAAGATTTTTGCACCTTGTAAACTAACCAAAAATCGTGCAGATGGGGTATTGGATATTTGTCAAGGATAGTATTGGCATTCAGGTTACGGAAATCGCCACAAGTCCTCCAAGTACCTACATCTGGTTTTGGCACCATTGGCAAAGGGGAATGAAGCATATGGACTGAAAGATGGCCGAATGATCCCTAAATTGAGCATGTGCTGAAATTCGCTCTTGGCTATTCTGTATTTCTCGGGTCGTAATTTACGTGGCGATGCATGCGTAGGCGGGCCTGTAGTTTTTATGTGATGTTCTACGTTGTGACGTATAACTTCAGTGTGTTTGAAAGGCGTTGTTATCTCCGGATACTTCCTCAATAAGTTATGTAAACCATTAGATGATGGTAATGCAGCGTTTGTACCAGTTGAAATATAAATAGAGGTAATGCCTTTTCTCTTCAGGTTCGTCGTGTTATCGTTCAAAGTGTGTGTAGATATATTGACAGATAAATTAAAGTGTAATAGTAAATCTGCTCCGAGAATAGCTGTTTTAACCTGAGCTATGGAAAGGATCGTCGCAATCCTAAACTTAATGTTAATGAAATTTCTCCAAACCGTTTGCCGCCTGGTGATTGAAGATGGTTAAGCATAGCGGGTTTTGGTGGGACAACGCTTATTTGAGCACCAGTACCGATCAGGAACAGATATCCGGTTGTTCGATCTCGAATATAAAAACAGACGCCTTTTCAGACTTCTACCAGCAGCAAAGGTCGTCTCAACTTGCTGCCTGGATAATCGTTTCCCGCATGCTGTGTTGAATTGTTTGTAGAATTTATGTCGAAATTATAAGGTTTTGTGCACAGTCTAGCCTGGTGTTCATGCCTACAGTGATACTAGCACGTGTCAAATACGCGACGCTCTCTCGATGCGGAATTTGATTTGTACTTGTTCTTGTGTGGCGAATAAGAACGTCTGGCCAAATTGTTTCGCGATCGACGATATCGTCGTGCATTGTCTGTTAGAGATTTTAACTGTAATGTAAGGTTCGCTAAAGTTTTCTTGATCTACATTAAATCGCCCGGGTTGCTAATGGAAGCAACATTAGGTGTCTGAATTGTAGTGAAAAGAGCTCCTCCTGGTTTATTATTGTTAATTTTATCAGCCATTTCAGCTAGTCGTTTCAAATCTAGCTCGTCTGGGAGTGAGGTAAGTATCTGCATGGTATAACTGTGTAACGTATCCATTTCTTTAGTACTTATGTTGGCACCCAGGAGTGATTTCATCTTTCTTAGCAACTGCGAGTGTTTTAGGTGTCCAAGGTCTACATTGTTATCTGCTACAGTTGGATACATTTAGTAAGTTGTAGATTAGGAGTATTATTCTCTGATTAATGTTGTCTAAATCAATATTTCGTACATTCGTACATTAAATTAGGTACAACCACCAGGTCATGGTCGCGAAATTTGTATGTGACCACCAACGTCAGGATTATCAAATTTTGTAGGTGTTAAATTACCTCGTGTTTCCGAATATTTGTAGGTGTGTTAGTCACATACATCCGACAAGTCGGAGTTACCAAATTTGTAGGGGTTAGCCAAAACACCCTACTGCATTTATATTAACACGAGGTTCAACGCAAAATATGCATTAACAATGAATAGATTATTATATACAATAACAAGTACAAAATTTGTTGAATGTAGTATTTTAAATTGTTTAAATGTATGATGATTTGAATGTCAATAATATTTTGGATCAAAATATTATATGGTGTTATAATGTCTGCTCAAAAATAAGAACATATATTCCAGTATTTAGGTATTTATGGTCAATTTAAAACAGTTTATACTTGCAAATAATTTGTGTAAATTTCAAAAGATTTACTGAGAGTTTGAAAGGGTTATCTTTCTTTGATCAGATATTTTATATTGAGTTTGGTTGCGTATTCAAGTTGTAAGTTTGTTTGAAATAATATATATTGCAGACTGAGTATTATGTTAAAAATATATTTTTAACGTAAAGTCTGAATATTGGAATAATGACACGCGTGGACTGGCGTCGGGTAGAGAATTTCCTTCCTCACTGAAAAGGAATGATTTAAGTGTCGTTTAAATAAGAAAAGTTCGTCACGTGATAGGCTCACAATGACTTAGCGGGACTGTCTTTTGATTCAATTCGGACGGAGTCGAAAATACGTCATCTCTTTTTTTCATATTTAATAACCAATGAGAACGCGTCGTTCGTATTTCTGTTTTGGGCCTATTTTAATGGGTTTTGAAAAGAATATAGGATTTTGAATCATACAATTCTACTAATTTTCACAAAAGTTTATAGAATTAAAAAAAATATATTTATAATCTATTGGTTAAATAAACTTAAAGATAATTTACATTTAAACATAACGAATACGAGTATCTTGATTTTAGTTGTTTTTGGTCTCTGTGCTCAATTTAAATCTGTTTACTCTCATAAATTACTAACTATAGGACTCTTAATGATTCTATTAAGATGAAAAATTTATTCTTAATTATCAGATTAGTAATAAAGATAAGAGGAAAACTTGAAAAAGAAAAAATGAATTTATTACCGGAATCCAGTGCATACTACGCCCAGCCAAAAAGTATCCACCAATGCTTCCTCTGTTCCGACATGATGCCTGAAGAAATAAAATAGCGCAAACATTGTTCGTAATTCAATCTGTACATTTTCCATTAAAAGATGATGATGATAACATAGAAAAAAACAAAACTATTCATTTTTCTATGTGAAAAGATCTTTATATATATATATATGTGTGTGTGTGTGTATTATATTATATCATATTATAAAATATAGTTTTAAGGTATGCTATAGATAAGGGTTAAAGTACCCGATATCAGGGATAGAGCGTATATAAATATAAAAATGGATATTGAAATTAACACCCAGAGGCGACAGTACCTTTCATGACGATTGCGTTTAGCATGAAACAGACTGTCGCCTCTGGGTGTTGATTCAATGTTCATATATATATATATATATATTGCATATGTATGTGTATATTTAACACTAATATATATATAATATATATATATATATATATATATATATATATATATATATATATATATAAGGAACAAATAGGGAACGTTTAAAGAATAAACACCTTATCATATTGGGAAAATATTTATCAAGATTCTTTCTAAGTACTTTTACGTAGAAAATACTTGGAAGAAATCCTGATAAATATTTTTCCATCAATAAACACACGCCAAACATATTTTATCACCAACTTTTATAAAATTAATACGTAAAGAATCGAAGATCTGTTACAACTACACCCGATGTAACCTAAATTCTTTCACTTCTACACAAAAAAATCCCCCAATCAATAAACGGACACTACTAGACAAAAAAAAAAAAAACACTAAATGCACAGATGCTCACACACTGTCAAACAAATTCTCCGTGGGCCAACTAGAATTATGATACACAAACACACAAAAATTATATATATCAACGCTACATGACAAGACAAATAGATGTGAAGTTTATTTAACCAATGAAAAACAAACACAAAAATAAAAAAATGTCATAATTTTCTTTTTTCCTCCATATTTAATTTCTGATGAAACTTAAAAGCGAAATATGTTAAATCTGCAGTCGTTTACTATTTGTTCCTTATCCTACAATGTTATTGGATTCTAATCCCTATTTGATCCCAATACACACACGCGCGCGCGTGCACACACATACAAAAACGCGCGCGCGCGCACACACACACACGGCCTGACGATTGCGTTTAAGCATGAAATAGATTGTCGCTATCAACTATGTCAAACATCTTATATTTACATGCCCTCTATCCTTGATATTGAGCACTTTTCTCCCAATAATGTAGCGTACACTGAAACTATTTTCTTATATATATATATATATGTGTGTGTGTGTGTTTGTGTGTGTATGTGTGTCAGTGTGTGTGTGTTTGTTTGACATCCCTCTTTTTTGTAAATCATCTACGTCTACCGGCCTCTGCATTTAAGAAGCTTAATAAAGAAAATGTGCCTTCGACAGTGTACGAACTTGCGTATCCCTTTTAGTGAGCACTACCGCTAAACACCAGGTGCTTTTAAACCGCTTCGTCATGGAAGACATTCACAGTTATGCAAGTTCAGTTACCCTATTTAATAAATGCACGTTTCTTGTTCGGATCTCTCGAATCACATATCTACTAACTTTTATTTTCGTATCCAAAACGTAAAGTAATTAATTTCTAAGAAATTGATATATTCTATTAATAATCTGATATTATTTATTACTTTAAACGTTATATTTAGAGGAAACACGTTAAAACTCTCGAATGCACAGGCCGGTAGACATGGATCTACAGTGTTTAAAAAACAAGAATTTCAAGGTGTATCCACTAAATATAATGTTTAAAGTTGCAAAAATAATCTCGTATTATAATAAAATCCATCAATTTCTTAGAAATAGGAATTGTGCAAATGATTTATCTTTGACCATATAATCTAATGTTTATTTACATTATTTACATGCGGACTATTGACCTCTTTTTTGTTGTTTTGTTAATGTTATCGTTGTGGAGAAAAAGATTTTAAATCAGTTTATAATTGTATGCAAGAAAGTAAATCAGGAGTTTACAAACAAGTACGAGAAAGTAGGTTTGAAGTTCTGTCATCTGTACAGACGTTTGCAGTTTGACCATATGAAGAAATCTAACATAATCTATATGATATAAGATCAGATTTTCTCTTCCTCAAACACTGTCTACGTGTGATTTTGAATGCTCGTGTATAATGTATATCCTTATGTCTGTGTTGTGTGGTAGTGACTTACATGTGCTTTAATGTAAACACAAGCACACGCTCACCCATAATTTGATTGCGTATGAAATAAGACAATGGAATAATACATTTCCCTCCTACTCAATATGAACAACTCCTAACCTGCGCTGAGCAATAACGAAGTTGATAACAAGAAAAATAGGAAAAAGAAAATCTTATCAACAGTTTCATGATCATCCAACTCACTTTAGCTTACATGTGTGCATGGATATGAAATAAATAGTCAGGAAGCTTTTGTATATTATCTATAATAATTTCACCCTGCTTTTATCTATTGATACCAGCCTATTCATGCCTATATTTTTAAATCTGTCTATGTCTATTTGTTATAGGTCCCTCTAAAAAAGCGATACATAAGGTTTAAAATGCATTTAAAAAAATGAAAAACTTTTCTTGAGGCTTTTATTTTAGTTTTAATTTCAAGCTAATACATTAAATTTAATATTTCCAATAAGCAAAATATTTTGCTGCATTTCAAAACGAATTTAAATTGATTGGAAAGAGTTTTTATTATCAATAAAAATGCTAAAATTGTCCATACTGACAAATCTACAAATACAACATAATTTTCTTTAATAAAAAAATATTTCAAAAATAAAATATTTTTTGAAACTATTTGAGGAAGATTAGCTCATATAAATCCTAAATAAATTCAAATTTTTTAAAATATTGGGAGTGGTTGATTTGTAGTAAGCTTTTCCATTTATGATTCGTAAATAGTCTTAATTTGATAACAATACTACTTGAACGCTACAAATTAACACAGAACTTTTTATAAAATGAAAACAATTCTTGTAAAAATTCATTATTCATTCATTTTTTTCTCATAAAACAATAGTCTCCATTATGTAAAAGAAATTTTAAAAAAATTCTAATTAAATAAGATTATAGTTTTATTGCAATTTTTATTTTACAATTATAAACCAGGACTGATATTTTTAACCTTTAAATTGAGAATTTCGCCACAGCTGTCATAGCTGATTTCATTCCGTCTCTGAAATACCAAATGAATCCTTAATCTCTTCTGTCCATGGTTCACACTAGTATGCTTTGCCGCTATAGCCCACAGCAGCCACTATTTCAGGCTATAGCGTCGTGACAGCTCCTATCACAACAGATGCCTATTCGAGGCTGCATATAATGAATGTAAACGTGTCCTCGAAGGAGCTACGTTTCTATTTGCCGAGAAAATGAGACACCATATTGCATCTAACAACTTTGGCTCTAGTGATTACTGGTGGCTATGTAATAATGTATTAAATAAAAATATGTTTTCTATTCCCCTTTCTTCAATCAATTTGAGGTGTTAACATCTGCTGATAATGCTGAATATTTCGTCCGTAAATTCTCCTTAAACTTGACTCATCAGAAATATCCTTGCCTAACTTCCCACTTAGAAATGAGTTTCTGATGAGTGATAACCCCTTCTATGGTTTCTGCTATAATCTCTAATCTGAATCTCCATAAAGCATATGGACCAGATGGTATTCCTGTAATAGTCCATAAGAAGTGTGCTCCCAAACTGGCCTCTTGTTCTCTCTAAACTGTATAATAAATGCCTCACTGTCACTTGTTTCCCTGCCTATTGGAAATCGTCATCTGTAGTAGTTGTCTTTAAGAACTTATGTGAACCGTTCAACACTTTCAACTATTGAACTATACCTATTTTACTATACCTGCCTTCTACCTATTTTTGGGAAACTACTAGAGGCCCTAATCAATGCTGGATTGGTTAAGCATCTCACATTACAGGGCCTTTTTTCAGACAAGCAATACGGCTTTCATTTCTCCAGGTTAAATGCTGATGTACTGATGATAATTGCGGAAAGTGTCTATCAAGCTCTAGCTAAAGATGTTGAAGCTCGGGCTGTAATGAATGCAGGTGCCCTTCCTTGGTCCTGTTTTATTTTTTAATTTTCATTAATGACCTTCCCGATGGCATAAGATCTCAACTATGCTGATGACACAAACATTTATTCCAGTCTCGATAATATGCCCAATCAGCTCGAGATGGTCAAATTGGCAACTGATGTCAAAAACGACCTTCACTCTCTTAACTGGGACACTGTTAATGGCTTATTAATTTAACGCCTCTAAAACTAAACTGGTCTCTGTTAATTATCAGAGATCCCTTTCTGCCTTTCATCAGCATGGCTGATGCTAACCTTCAGGAGGATTACTCGTTGCGCCTTCTCAGGCTAACATTCTCTGTTGAAATGAAGTAGAAATATTATAATGAATTCATTGCTAGGTCAGCTGCTAAGAAAGTTGGTTCCGTGTCATGCTAGATAATATTTCTCTCCAGAATTTATCTCACATATCTATAAGTCTACCACTCGTCTATGCTTAGAATATTGCTGCCACATACGGTCTGGTGTTCCTTGATAAAATCCAAAGAAGTATCAGCAATATTACTGGTTCAGATATGGCATCTAAGCTTCAGTCTCTCTCCCACTGGCGTAAAGTTGTCTCCCTTAAGCTTTCTATAAATACTTTCATGGTAATTGTTCGGATGAGTATCTAGACTTTATGGATTTAAGCGCAATACTCATCGACATACTGTTGAGTTGGTTAGATGTAACTGTATGTTCTATGCTAACAGTTTCTTTTCTCGCACTTCTCACTTGTGGAACTCTCTTCCGACTTCATGCTTTCCAGCCAACATTAATCTTCAAATATTTAAATGCAATGTCGCTATCTACTGTCCTCCTGATTACACTTCTTTTGTTATCGCTTCTTAGAAATGTTTCTGTTTTCTAATTGGTCCGCATCCAGTAACCCCTTGTGTCTTTACTGCCTTGCCTGGGTTGAA